AAATTCGATTTCGTCAGGTGGGACACATTCCAAATATTGCGTCAAGTATCGTATGACAAATGCATCGTGCCGTACGATTAGCACCTATCCTGATAAACAGATGTGAAAGTTCAACTCGTTTCCCATTTGTGTGTTCAATGGAATTGATAACGTGATGCATGATGATTAAACATTTGCTTAAGAACCGTTTTTGTACGATTCATTGACCGTTCATTAATGTCCTACTCAAATGGCAACTTTTCATATCGATCCCCAGTGCAATTTTCTGCTTCACTGCCGCATTCCATCGTGCTATTCCATCCATGTTATTCCATCCATCCACGGATATATCCATGTTATTCCATCCATCCACGCATATATCCATGTTATTTCATCCATCCACGCATATATCCATGTTATTCCATCATTCCATCGGCCATCGTTCGAATTTGTTATTTCATTCTGTGACTTATGCTTTATCGTTTTTCGTCATTGATTTTTTGTGTTTTCAATTCATGTTTTCCAGTAAATTGCTTCAGTTTACTTTGGTGTACATTTGAGGATGATACAAGTGGAACGTTGAGACGAATTGTATTAGCCAGGTGACAACTGATTCAAAAACTCATTGAAGTCACTGATTAGGTGTAATATTTCGAATGTTTTTAAGTGGTTCAAAGTGTAACTGTGTGTATCGACCGATAGAACCAAGGTGATGTTCGGGTATGAATGAACGGAATTCAGTTCCATTCAGAGTCCGATCATCTGATAACTTGCACACACGATACACTGTTATGGGACAACATCCAGTCTACACCGTTATGGCCTCAAACAACACTTTCAAATTCTCAAATTTCGGTTACTTATCATTTACTTGTGATAAAGTGCGCTCAGCTGCAGAAAACTTTTCATTTTGCATAGGTCTGTACATATAATGAACAAATACACATAACCGCACTCATCTTGACATTCGCAAATGTGACAGCAAACACAGAATTTTTATTGTGAACAAGTATTTGATCGCTCCATATAAATCAACAAAAATGCAGCAAACGAGGTAGAGTCAATAAACGAAGATCATTAATAATTATTTATCGAAATTCACTTTAAAGAAGGAATGAAAGAAGGAAGTAAGAAATAACAAAATCGTTTACGTAACATAAAACGAATTCTGTACACACAAATATACCCGTTTATTGAAAAGTGATGCAGAAAATGTATTATGGGATTTTAATCATCAACGAGTGATTCAGTGACGCTAAATTATTAATATTCTCATCATTGAAACGATCACCACAAAGTATTCAACTTCCACCAATTACTTATATCGTTTTACTACAACAATAAATCTTGTATGGAATAAGTACCCATCGATATGAAATATTCTACAAATATTACGTTCATATGCTTGAAATAATGGAAACTATTAACTTATTAACAAAACTGCAAAACAATTAATAACAACAAACACTATATTTAAAAATGTTGATTTAATATCGATTATCAGAAGTAACAAAAACTGAAAAAAACGCATACATGATAGCACATCAACATCAAAATATTATGATGGTTAAAGTATCAATCATTTCGACAAAAACAACAACATAAATAGTGACGATGATAAGAGTAACGACAGTAATCATAATAACAATAGCAGTAATAATTTTAAAAGTAATAACAACAATGCTGATAGTAACAGTATCAATATTACTGATGGTAAGCACATTAACAGAATGAAACGTATTACAGCGATTAACGATATTCGGTCATTAAAAAACTGTAGTCTTGGATATACTACTGATAAAGAGCAATGAAAAGAAATCATGACAAATTCAGCTATCAATGAACACAACCACCAAACAACAGGAATAATGATAACTGGATAAAAATCATTTAAAATCAGCTATAATTGATCATGATATGAAAGCATTTGGCAGGAAACTTATTACGAATTAGCAAATAAAAAGAACTGAAATACAAAAACGATTATGATATAAAAGATCAAAAATACGTCATTACGCTTTCAGAAGATTGAATGAAATGATTGAGTGGAATGCAAAACAACCAAATGCTTCCATGAATGGCGACAACCACTGCGTTCCATTTCATTATATTCAATCGAATAGCGATTGCTGACCTAGTACAAAACATATTCAGTGCAAACAATAACAACAAACACTTTCTAATTCATCAATGCTCACAACAAAATAACAACACAAACTGCATACAAACAACACTTCATAATAATCCTAACGGTAACAAAATATACCGATTCAAAGAAGCGAATAAACTGACAAATAAGTAAACAACTGTTCCGTTAATAATCATTAGTTTATGACGATAAATATGCTCATATAATGACCACTGAACATGTATTTATTAAACTTGTGTATATTTAAAGACAGGGATCCAACGGTCTTCCTAATTAAATCGATCAATTTTTTACAGAAACGCACTGCAATGGGGACACCCAATAACAGTTTCCTTTATTTTCGATTTCATCGTGACACAACAAGTGTTCGCGTCAAATTCGATCACTCTTACAGCCACAACATTTGAAGGATTAATAAATACACATACAGCAGTCCATATATTTCCTCACTCGAAAACGTTACAAATACGAAAACAAATAACAATTAGAGAAACGGAAATCGAAATGATAAATGGAATGAAGCATAGCAAACAATGAAAATTTTGCATTATTTCAATTGATTGGATGAAAATATAAATGAAAAATGAGAAAATTAATGTAAAATTCAGAAACACTCCAAATTCAATTGAAAAGGAATTAAGTAAACAATGCTCTGATGCGACTGAAGGGGCAATCAGATAAAACTAAAAATCTACATAAACCAACTTATCGATCAGAATTCACTGATATTATTACTCTGACGATCTGCTGTTGGTTATTGTTGTGAACACATGAACATAATATTGGGGCTCACATTACACTGATTCCATTCATGAACGCAATACCAATTTGCGTTATTGCCCCCGCGATATCGTTTAAGTTGTGTTAAAGTTCAGCCAAATTAACGAACACCTTTTCAAGCATCACGAACAAACGTACGCCGTTCATTATTTTCCTGAAACATTCCAAAAGCATAAGAATCGTACACGTCCAGCTACCATAAGTGAACTACGTAATTCCTGTGCTACGTTCATAATTCCCACACAACCATGATTGCACACAATTTCGGCAACAAAAATGCATCTCAGAAAAATCATACGTTGAAACAATTCCAAATACTAAAACAAACCCGTTATATTGTAGCATAAATTTCTTAGCATTATCATGCGATTCAAAAATTAATGAAACACTGTCATCATGTGATTGCCACACTTTCTGAAATTCAGTTAGTGCGTCATTTTTATTTGTTCGATAAAATGTCTAATATTTTGCCGTAACGTACATATCCCAATGAACTGACAATTAACCCAACTTCGTATGTCTAACATCACTACAGATCAAATCCCGAATGACTATATCATAAAAGTGAGAGTATTCACATATGAATCATCAAATCATTTCCCTATTCATCCACTGATTTCAACTCCAACCTTTGAAGTGATCTTTTGGCATTGAATATATTTTGCGTAGATAAGACAGATTAAGTACACAACAGTAAACTACTCACTCTAGTTGGGCCAACAGTTGCAGCAATCAGTTTCATACGTTCCATATCTGGTGATGTTCTATTGGATGTTTTTATAACAACCGCTAGATAGGCCTTCTTTTTCGACGGTGGTGGCTGAACGCTTTTAGCGCTGGCAGTTGCATTCGGTTGAAGTTTGTTTGGTGTTGTCACCGATGGCGATTTGGACTGAGTTGATGAAGAGGGCTGCGGTGTGTTCTTTAGCGCTGAGTGTCTTCTTGATGATACCGCGCCGTTTGAGGGAACTGCTCGTGTTGCTGCTGCTGCAGTTCCATCTCCACCTTTGTCACTCGTTCTCAGAATCGGTCTTTCCGAAAGCTTTTGCTCTTGTTTCTGATTTGCATTCATCGATCTCGATGACGCTCTCAACTGTTTTTGATCTTGATGATATGAACTGGATGGCTGATTGCTTGCTGAGAAAGAGGGTGTACACATCTTACTCATACCTCTTTCATCATCTCGATTCATCGTTGACGATGATCCACTTCGACGAAACGTTGACGGAGACTGCTCACGACGTCCCCGGTTCAGTCTCGACGATGCAGTTGGTCGTTCTCGAGGACTACCCGACTGGTCCCGACCTCCGGCTCTTGAACGAACTGGACGATTTCGATTCATACCGGTCATCCGTTCACTGTTACTTCGTTCACGTTCACGTGATGACACATTCCTCTTCTCAGCGAATCGTTGTTGCTGTTGTTCTCTAGTGGATGTTCTGTGTTGTGCTGGTAAATGTCTCGAAGAGTGCATACTGCCACTGGCACGTGCATCGTTACCATCACCATTGTCGTCAGGTTCGGGTTCTTTCGGCGGCTTCGATGAAGACTGTACATTCTGAACACGACGTTCTTCTTTCTTCCGCAGAATCTCTTCACGCATCTTCTTTTGCTCTTCCAATTTCGTCAAATAATCACTATCCAAACCAATCGCCTTCGCACACTCCATCGTTTTTTCCTTAAAATCAAAAGCATCATGTTTTTTTTTTAATTGATTTCATTCTCACAATTATACAGCTTTGAAATTATCACACTTGCCGTACAGATCGAGTGAGCAGTCTTTACTCTTTGCTCAAAAACAAACGTTCAACACTGATAAGATTGGATCATACATGAAACTTCACTAAAGTATTTAATATTCACCCAAACCCTAAGTCGTGCAGTAAAAATTCAGTCAACTTTATCATCTATTGATACATTCCAACTGAATCAGTCACTAACATTTTCTGCATTATCCAATTTCAATTTTTTTTTTAAATGAATCAATCAAAGTTTGCAAAAGCTGAATGAACAAACTTGTTGATTCGAATCTAATGGTCGAGTTCTTCGATCACGATCCCGATATTCAACACGATTGTCTGCAGTTCCTCTTGGACGATCCATATAACGCCTTCGACTTTTACTACCATTTCTTAGACAGTTTTTCTTTGGATTTATTTATTTTTAAGAAGAATTTCATTATTTTAACTCATCATGGAGAAATTTATTTCTTTCAGTTTTATACGGTACTGAAATACATATTTGGTATCCCTTTAATGAAATAAATTCGACTTTTCTTCATTTTTATTTAATAGTCACAACGTTTCAGTTGGATTGATATTGCCATAAGAAAATGCATTAAAAAGTACACAATAATTAACTTTTCCACACCACAATTAGTGGGTGCACAGGAAACACCCAAAAATAAATTTCATTGTTAGTAACGTCAAGCATTTACGAAACAAAAAATGAGAATAACTCGCACAAGCTGGAATGATGTGAACAAAAAGAACCAAACGACATTTGCTCTCGATGAAATTTTAAACAAACTGACAAATAACTACGGCCTACAAATCAACAATATGTGGTAAAGCGAAATCTAATGGTTGATGACTGCTCATTGTAGAGAAATTTTAGCAATTATAACGATGCATTAGTCAGGAGGTACCTCGCGTGAGTGAGCAAATAAGATTAAGCAAGAAGATTGGAATGGTGTCTTATCTTGCTTTACCACAATGTCCGAGAGAATAAAGAGCAAACCTTAGCATTCTAGCATCATTGTATCTCGAAGATGAAGAATGTTTGGACTTGAAACGTTGCTCATGACGTAGTGATCTAATCGAAGATCTTGATGATTCTGACGAGGTTGATGAACGAGAACGCGACGAGTACGATCGAGATCTATATGATTGCAAATTGCGTATTATATCACCACATTTCATCAGCTTCTCTAATATTTCGTGCAAAAAAAGAAAAGAAACGACCAAGCAATTTGTTATACAAGCTTTTCGGATAATTATAACAAACGATTCTTGATATGCCTCAATAAAAAGAAGTTATCGAAATGGTGCACTTAAACATTGAAGTAAAATGACCTGATAAGATAAGGAATTGCGTCAAATTAAAAAATAACGCCCCTGAATTTAAAGATATCGTTGAAAGAAGGTTTGATCAGGTAAGGAAGTTAGCATCAGGAACGGGTAAAATTTGGGCAAAAAATGTAACTGAATAGCAATTGAAAATTTGGAAGAGAATATAGGAAGGCCGAGGATAAGATTAAGAGATCCAATTTGCAAGTTGAACGGTCGAAACTAGATGAAGAAGCTGATAATTGGTGATAGTGCTTATGCTATTAAAGATGCATCTTTTTGTCAGAGTAATATATAAATGAACAACAATGCACAGAGCCTTACAATGATTAAATGACGAAAGAGAATAAAAGTAAATCAAAAAAGAGTAATATTAACCTAGAACGTGAATACGATGAACGAGATGAGTACGAAGATGATGAGGAGTGTGATGAAGTTGAACGTGAATGACGTCTTATTGTCGTTCTCCTTAAGAAACCTTCGACCATTTGATCCCACTGCTGACTGCTTGATGCTACCGATACGCCTGGCGCTTGTTGGAGTTGAGTAAGAGGTGGAGGAATACTTGCTGGTGGTGGATTCGTTGAATAAATTGCAGCAGCTCCTCCATAGATCGATGTCAGAGGAGGAGGGGTTGGGTAGTTTGCTGATATATGTACAATTGAGGACGACGACACAACACATCCCATCGACGACGACGGGGGTGCTAAACGCGTTAAATCTGTTGCGGATGATGACGATGACAGTGGCTGAAAGAAAACATTCATTCAGCTGATTCCGTTCAATAACTGTTCAATCACCTGTAAATGACCATTAGCAGTGAGTTTTGTAAAAAGGTCTACTGATTTGTACTTTTGTTGAGAAGCTATCTCATAAGATAGACTATCCATCACTGAAGCAATAATAAAAAGCTGGAAGAATGTGGGTACATCAACATAAATGAATTTCATTTATGTTCCTTAAGGATATTCCTTAAATAATCAAAAAGCTTGCATGACCCGGCTTCGAATTTTTTCCTCGTCGCCTTGCATGGTGCAGCGGGATAGCATTCGACTATTGCACTTGAGATGTTCAGTTCAATTCCACCTAGACACAGCTACAGTCTCAATGACGAAAAACCAGCTCACTCTGAGACACAGTGAATGAAAACTACAAAATGGTCTAAATATCTGAGAGGCTTTTTGTCGAGATCGAGACCGGCTTATGAGAATGACAAGCAGAAAGAGAGGTGAGTCGAATTTTAAAAAATTACTAGAAAAGGTAGTGAAGGTGGTGGTATTTGAATATTGGCGTTAGGTATTAATGGATTTGTTGTGATAAAAGGCGGTCTTATCTGAGGTACACCGATATTTGTAACGCTTCGCACGCCAATCGCTGTATTCCAGTTGATAGCCACTTGAAATACGAGGAAATCATCATTACAGATAGTATCAAATTAGGAAAATTCCTTTAACACTGACAAAAGTTTCCATTAGAACACTTTTGAAAACAATAAAAAGTAATGTTTTTCAGAGTATTTGTCAAATATGTTTTCATCTATTTTTTAACTATCTCCAAGTATATGAAAAACATCTGAAAACAGAATAGAATAGCACTCAGCTAACGATACCATTGCAAGATGTCACCAATATACATTAGGTAACAGCGATATGAATAAAAACGAACAAAAACAAAGAAAGATTAATATAAACAAAAGAGGAATCAATTCACGCAACATACATTCAGAACGCGGTCTAATGATGCCTTTATAATGCGGATTGATAAGAACTTTAGACTGAGATTTTGGCTGACTTAGAGATGACGATTTGTATTGGTTCAGTTGAGCATTCGACGAATAAACGCTTGGATTTGAAACTGTAGTAGATGTTGACTGAGATAGCAATGAAGAGGGTGTATTCATAACACTTGCAGGCTGTAACATACCAAATTTTGCCAACATATTCGTTTTGAGAAAAAGAATCAAGTTTCGCTTTACTCTTTCTGCTGGTACTGTCGATAGCGTGTAACAATTATACTCAACTTTCAGAATTCCCTATTTCTCAAACAAACATCACTGATACTAGAGGGCGTTCACTCTAACAATTCGATCTATATGTCCAGATTGCAATATATCCGGATTATGCTCAGAGGTGTTACTCTCCGCCAAATAAATTATTTGGGGAATATACTGACTATGAGGTGATTTTGAAACATCCTATTTTCGCAGTATGGAACATCACGCAAATAAACGTTAACACGGAACCATTACAACACTCACTGTGAGAATAACATATATCATATCGAATTTATAACATGCACAATACGTTGGTTCAAAAAATTCGCAACTGCTCGATACAACTCAAGTTTGATAATGAATTCAAATTCGAATATCACTGCCATTCTTTGTCAGCCTTTGAGAATTTTCATATTCCCATGATTTTTTACTAATTTGAATTTGCTTTAATATTGTTTTTCGTCGAATTCAAAAAATCAACCAAAAAAATTAAAAAACTTACAACAGAAAGAGTTGTCGTTGGTAGAGAAGGTGTTACTAAATTAGAATTTTCATTTTCACGACGAGAGCCGACTTTTGACCGATCTTTTGATGGACCCACAGATGTTATCAACGTTGAGCCACTATTTGAAACGGCTGACGTTCGACGTAACGAAGATGAAATCTTAAAAAAATTTTTTCTTAACACAGCAATTCAGGCGTTTTGCACTGATTTCCATACGAGTCACACTACCATATTCCTCCATCGATAAGCTCGGCGTGAAAAGGAATGCGCATATGGTGCAAACCAATTGAAAAATACGAAAGACTATCGAACTAAATTCTGTGCGAATAAACAATTTTCTCATCGAATCGAAACACGAACTCTTTCAGATGTGAATTTCGAACGTCGCTGAGATCGTTCGTGGTCGTGGTCCCGGTCATGATCTCGATCGCGATCATGCTCGGTGGCATCTTCATTCGGCTCTTCATCATAATCCAACTCCTCATTCTCATCAATCAAATCAATATTCGAAGTCGACACTTTCTTTGTTCCATCACCATTTCCCTCCGATCGTACAACGTCCTCGTCATCATTATCATTGAAGTTATCATCCTTATTCTCATCAATATCGTCCAAAATTGCTGCCTCATCCAGATCGCCCAATTTCACATCCTATATTAGTTTAACATCAATACCACTTCCTTTCAATACGAATAATGCCATTATTATTTCTTTATTTTAGTATTTTAATTTACCAATGCTATTATTTTCATTTTCATATTATCATAACTCATAATTTCTCAGCAATATAGCAATTTATTTTTGTTTTAAACTTTTGATTTTAAAAACTTACAACATGAAAAGGATAACTTTACTAAGCATATCATCGCGCTGCCATTCAAATGATGAGTTGTTAGCAAAGATCTGATCTAAAGAAGACAAAAAAACACAAAATAAGAGGTGATGCTCACAGGTGCCAATGATGAATCAAAAAGCAGCTCCTCTTCGTCCATGTTGTTGACTTTCGTTTTGAATATAACCGATTTACGTCAACAACTTTCACAGAAACATTTGAAACGCCCAAATCTGTAATGTGAACATTCACAGTAACTGTGCAAAGAGCAAAAGTTTCATCGCGAACGCGCGAGGAACACACGAGTAAACAGAAGTGATCCGCGTTTATTTGGGCACATCATATACTGAGGCCAGCGAGCATAAAAATGTGGTTTTGGTCCATGAACAACCGATGATAGCGAATCTGTCATTTCCTTTGGAAAATACCACAACGAGATTTGATATATTCTTCAACGCAATTTTAAAAATTCGACCAGACTTTATCATCAGTTTCTAAAAAATCCACTAAATAACAAATAACGATTGATGGCTGCTGTAAACAGAATGGAGTCTAGTAAATTCACTCAATTTCCGAATTCGATCCAAATAAGAGAATGCTTTCATCTTCAGCCGCAAAGCCTTTTGGGGACCTAACCCTAAAGTGAAGTCTGGCCCAACTTCAAGCCTGGAACCACACCTCAAACTCTTCGCTCCAATTTTTTTATTACTGTGGATCGGTGGAAACGCCCGAATTTTGCAGACTGCAGTAGAGAAAAGTTCGCACGATGCAGTCAGAACGGTCGAATCATTTAAAATAACAGCTGAAAAGCACAGCTCTAAAACACTTCCATATCTTCACTGAAAATCACATCATAACGTTGAGCTCCCAGATCATTGTGTTTTGGCCTTCAGCAGTCTGGATTAACGCAGTTCGTGACCTTCCCTTGTCAGTAGGAAAAAATTACGATGTTTAAAGATCAAGTACAAGTTGCAACAGCTATAAAAACGGTTCATCGTTTAGATCAACTAACTATTCCTCTCAAGCTTCTTTCGCTTGCTGTTGGTCAAAAATTCCCGTTGTTCGCTGCGCAGACCTATCGACTGGAACTGACCAAAACGGTATGCTCACATTCAGTAGTCATCCAGTGTAATTCAAATTTCATTGAGTCGTTAAAAAAGAAATCTACTAACAACAATAATCATCTCAATAAAACAAAGCAAAACACAAAGTGCCATCCATTATTACCACCAGCATGCTCCTCAAAAAATAATAACAGAACTGATAAAAGCACAGCGACATGCTGCGCCTTGTTGATGATCTTCGATGCATAATACAACATCAACCATTAATCGTCAATGTGCTATGACACCATTCACTACAATCTTTTTAACGGTGACAAATGTTAACACAATAATGCACACACAATACATATTCTATATAATACGCACACCGCACCTTCCACCGTCTTATTCTTGACAATATTCCTTACTCACAACACGTTTCTTCAAAATCTCTTAACGGTGTTTCTGAGAAGTTTTCAGCAACTTTGATTCTACGAATTATTTTCCAACAAATTTGAGGCTGAAATGATGAAGTTTTAGATGATGTGTATTTATTTAGTGTTTTCGTTCATTTTGTATTGATTGTTGTGTAACAGGTGTGTGTCAGCCGTACGTTGAATTAATCAGTGACATATTATAGTCGAAGACAACTCAACCGAATGAAATGACTGTCTAGTTTCTGAATCAGTTCTTTCTTGTTTTCGAAATTTTTACATTAGATGAAGTGAAAACAAGAAAAAAACTATTATCAAGAAATTAAAACGAAAAGTAGATCTGTGATTCAAATGTACTTCAACGGTTTACTGATTGTGAGAGAGTAAATTACTCTCATTTGAATCCGTGTGAATTTCACCTTTTCCTAAGGAACTAACTTCACTGCTTTTTTGAATTATCGTTGAGGAAATGCTCTAGAAGTGTGTTCTTCTCAATTATGTGGTGTTTTGTTCAAGGACTCTAAATCTAAACGCTTCCATAACATGAATTTTGAGTTTGACTTAAAAATTATGAAACAGTGTTTTCAAACTGGAAAGTTCATGTGTGTTAAAAATTTCATCAACAATACAAGACAAAGTTTAATTACCGTTAGAAGAGGAAGAAAGCAATCGAATGTCTTTGAACTTATCAATGTGACCATCTTGATAACTTGTGTTTACGGGATAAACACAGCGAAAGGAATACGTCATAAGTTGTTTGAAATAACAACATCATGTGATTGCTTCTTGAACTTCAGCAGTCGGAACTCGAAACAAAACAACTTGACACTTAATGCGATTTTTGCTTTAAAACTTCATCGCATTTCAGTGTGAATGACAATCAACATAAAATGTCGATAGAAAATTGAATGTTCAGGGCTGTTGGAGGATATGTTTAGTCCCTGTCCAATTGTTCAACCAGAACTTGTCCCCTATTTCGATATATTGGTACGAGCGAAAATATTAATGAACATATTATCAAGCATATTGAGATCAACTCCTGTTGCTTACAAAACGAACATAATAAGGATACTTTTTTAGTTTCTCATAGCTGCAGCTTTAAATCTCTCCAAAGAGGCAGTAGTCACACATACGTGATCTATAATAGTACATAACGCGATTGCAATGTTGTGTGCAGTAGATTCTCTTCAACGACTGATGTAATCAGATTTGATGCGTACCCCTCGGCTATTTCCATAAAGCTACACCATAGCACAAAGCAATAAAATGAAAATTTTTTAGAATGTTTTCAGCCGACAAGCCACTCCCACCACCACCCGGTCCTCCGAAACCGCGAAATGAAAGCATTGCAGCGTCAATGTCGTCCTATCGAGCTCGTCCAACTGCATCCTCAAAGAGTTGGTTCTTTTTTGAAATACGCAAACTTTCTCGATTAAAGCATATTCTGATCTAACGATTGCGTCACATATCAGCACCCATCAATGATGCGTTAACGTCGAGGCACACCCATATTGATGCGTTGTCCTTCTCGGTGCAATTATAGTCATTTTATGGAACCGCATAAAGATTCTGTTACATATTCAAAAAACAACTATAAACCTGACCACGGATTCGAAGAAATGTATTGAACTGTGAATTTAACCTCTTTATGAAACAACTCAAATGTTCTCAACATGAAACGGTCTGCTTCAATAGCGGAGTGTCAATGTTCGATCGCATTCATTGAGAATCAATGTTATGTAATAGTATATGGATTTATCCAAACGACGAATTTGTCTCCTTGAAGGCTCTTCGATAGACTTCTCCAGAGCGAGAGCTATATTCGATACCGCCAAACAACCGCAAGTACAAAACGCCTTTCTATCAGCAGTCAAAAATCCTACAGTCAGATCAATCGCAGCTTCGTCAGCAAAAAATGAAAAAGTTTGTTTCGATTCATTCATATTCGATTCATATTCGTAATTTCAAATGTTGGGTACTCATGCAAACTGGAGTAAAGTTTAATCTCAACTCAAAACATTGAAAAGTGCTCAAATTTGTCAAATTTTCCTTTGTCAAATTACATTCTTTCTCTTATTGCATTTAAGATAGATATATGAAGATAACAAAAATGAACTGTTGTAGGTACAGTCAGCGGTTATCAAAACGGCACAAGATGATAGGGCTCGAAGTACGATTTTGGATCTTGCCAAATTGTACGAATCGCAGTCAACAAAAAATACGTCGAATTTTTCCGGATATAGACAATCCAACAAAAACCTAATTGACACGAACACCAGTACTGCATCCAGTTGTTTTAAATCGACTCCTCCACAGCCACAAAAATCAGCAAATTCTGACTACTATCCATCGTTATTCGATCAACAATCTTCGTCAACGGATCCATTTTCATCACCAATACCCTCCAAATCTCTTCCAAACCCTTTTCTATCATTTTCATCGACCACTGGTAATAACAACGATACTAATAGTTACAATGTTCATAGTAATACCAATAACGACAAATTTACTTCGATACAAAATAATCTTGCTTCATTGGATCTGTTCAATCATCCCGTCAAACCTGCAGTGCCTCTCAGTAAGTAATGATTTCATTGAGTAATGTTATATGCATGCAAAAGTTCAATGTAATGTAACTCATTATATATTTACTCAGACCATTACTAAAACTTCTGAATCTATATGACTGTGCTCTACTGATCAGTTCAGAGGAAACTTTGCAAGTAGTCAAAATATGATGAATATTCAAGGGGTCCATCTCCAATTCATTCTTTCAAATGCAACATCAGTCTGGTTATGATGAAAGAAAACGTGGAATGTAATTTGAATTCAGAAAAGATTCCACCCGCAAGACCTCCACCACCAAAAGCGAATAAATGGAGTGGCAGCAATAGATTATCAACAACGCCAACAAATGAACCTCATGCGATCGTTAAATATCCTTATAAAGCCTCGCAGTTCGATGAATTGTCATGTCAGCCGAACGACGTTGTTATCCTTAAAAAAGAAGTAATTTGATTTCGTTGTCTTTCCTTTCTTCGATTCATTTAATTATTCATTAGATATGCACTTTGAATTGTTCAATAAGACATCATCCTTTCGATTCTGTAACATCTTTCGATTATTGTTCTTTCACCATGAAAATATGTAGTAGTCGTGAATTCGCAGGTTGATGATCAGTGGATATATGCGTTAAATACGCGTACAGGTGAACACGGGATTCTGCCTATTGTATTTTTGGATATTAAAATACCATTGGTACCCACACAGAAAGCGAATCTAATCACGCAACAAATATCCTCGTTGCAGAGGTTGTTCAGTTTTTGTGTTCACTTCGCAACTTTTGACTGTTTATTTGTTCAGTTCCACTGGTTTTTCGTTTATTATAATTCGAGAAATGACAATGGTAACAATAATAACGATAAATAATTCTACAGGAGAGAAACAACAACAGCAACAGCACGCGCCTTATACGATTATGATTCTGCAGTTGAAGGTGATCTAAAGGTACACAGTTAATAGTAAAAGTTATAAGTAATGATAATGATAGTAACGCTTTCTTCCAAACATTCATTTCTCATTATCAATGGTTAACCAGTTCGTGAATTGCAAATGAAAAATACAAATTAGAATGTTTTGCAGTATTATTTTTATTGTGAGAAATATTCAAAACTATTTTTGAGTTAGTAATAAGTACAGAAAATGATTGAACATGAGAGCTGACTCATGTTATTCGATAACATTTAAACATAATATCATAATATATCATCATTTTGAACACATTGATAAGGTCAGTATGAGTTATTCGCAACCAAATTGAAGTTGCCATTTCAGTTCCGTGCGAACGACATTATAAAAGTGCAGGCGAAAGTCAATAACGAATGGCTTCGTGGTGAGATTGACTCGAAATGTGGAATATTTCCGGCAAATTTCGTTCAGTTATTATCACCAATTACATCGTCATCAAAACCACCAACATCATCGTCAGTAACAAACAAGATTGTAACAGCAACTTTTGATTACAATAGTGGCGTTCCAGATGATTTAGTATTCCGGAAGGGTGATCGAATTGAAGTCGTGGAAAGGATTAATGATGACTGGATTAAAGGTCAACTGAACGGCAGAATTGGACTTGTCCCGATGACATATGTTGAATCAGGTAATTCACATTGCAGTGTAATACCAACATCTCTAACCTCACTACAAACTAATCGAACTGTTCGTGCAAATCAAGATTATTATAACCAATCACCTGCTCATTTATGCTTCTCTAAAGGTGATCAGATTGAAATTATGCAACAGGTCTGTGCATCTTTTACCTTATTACATTCAACGTTTTCTGCAAAACCCTTTCGAAGGAGTGAAATCGCTCAGTTCCATTCGTTTTTGGATCATACCATTGTGTCTCCCCAAAAAGTATTTGAATATTCAAAATTCGAATAAACTTCAATTTCATCACATTCTCTTTAATGGAAAGTAATATATTCCAGAATTTCAACAGGTGATAAATTCAAATCAAACATACCCTACCTACTCAAAATTTAATTCAGCATTTAACTATAGTTCAGCCAAAATGAGTAAGTATTTTTTCAAAAATTAAATTTCAGATTGATAAAGAGTGGCTCAAAGGAAAGCTGATATTGAATATGTCAAATCAAAAATCATTTCCTTGTGGTATTTTTCCTCGATCAGCGGTTGAATGAATGAACTGGTATAATGATTGCTCAATATGTTCATTTGATACCGTCATTTAATTTATACCTACAACTTCATCTAATTTAATCGCTGTTTATTTTGATCTGATTGTAATTCTTTATTTGTCTCAACATTACAGTATTATATTGTGTTGCTGAGTTTATGTTTATGTCACGAACTGCCGTGAATCGGTCAGGTGTCTTAACATTTGGAATCATTTTGTAAAAACTTGAGACATATTTGAGGAATGCATCGTATTCATTCTGTGTCTGTTCTTTATGTCAATCATCAGCCTGTGATAGTTTGTTGGTGACGGTTGTGATTAGTATCGTTACTGAATTATTGTTCGCTGTATCATCTTTACAACACCACAATATTTATTTTTTGCATTCAATGATATTATCGTTTCATTATTTTCAATATGTGCTCCTTTCGTTTTTATCATCGAATTAATTTTGTACGGTGGCTTATTACTTAACACCTTGCTCAGAGAACGCGATTTATCTGTGATAATTTTATTTGATAATTTTAGCCGGCAAAATTTATATCACTGAGTCATACGGAGTCATTTAATTTTCATTTAGGCCTAACTCGTGGGCTGAAAGACATTCATTGTTCTCTTTCTCACAAAAAATCACCTTTCTCGAGTCTTCGTGCCTTGAATTCATTGGATTAATGATATTCATTCGCAAAAATTCTTTCATTTGATATCTGTTTTCAAATGGATAAAATTATGAACTTGTTATCTCACACCACCAAATAATTTCAGTACACACCAAACAAAGTACTTATCATTAGCGAGTTAACGCATACAAAATACTAAGTTGGAGTAATTCAATACTTGAAATAGATTCGTTACATGCAGCAGTGCTGGAGACGACTGAAACATTTACAATACTAACTGCTCAGAAGTAAGAACACGAATTATACGAATGTTAAGCTTAGAACCGTAATTATAATAAAGGCCTTCAATATGCGAATAAACGAGGAATATTTTTTAGAATTTTGAGTAGTTATTTATAAGAAGTAGCATATTTATTGTTGATAAGCAAATATTTGTGTAAACTACCTCTACGAAAGGGCATGTGCTGATACCAAAATGTTTTTGATTAAGGGTGATGAGATTGAAGATCTCACTGTGAATAGCGTTAGAGTCGCGACTGATGTCGCGAAGTAATTCATTTAATTATTTCTTTGCTTACAATTAGTAAGATGACAATTTGTTATATTATTATTCGGTAGATTATTATGATGTGCTTGATTGTTACGAGAAGCAAAATAATGTATTGCTAGTTATTTTGAAAAATTCAACTATGTATTGTCCAACTGTATTATGAGAAATGAAATGATATACTTTTTGATTGCACTGTAAGAAATGAAATGAATCATTTCATCTGATCGTAATTGAATCAATTTGGTCGGAGTTGTCTTATCTTCTCAAATTCATATTGTAATCATAATCGCCTCTTATGCTACATTTTCTTTCTTTACGACTGATGTATAAATGTCATTGTAAAACGAATTGATTATTCATCAATGTTATTATATTTCTAAAGGCTCTTTATTATCGCCAGCACATTTCATGTAGCCCATCAGCGCATCTCAAGTTTTTACAATCCTTCGAAAGTGTTGTTATTCATTAATTATTCACCGATGCTTTATTGGTTCATGAATATAATAATTGTAATCTGCTTTGTTGTGTTGCGATAAGTGGTTGTCGTATTGTGTGTTGCATTATCTACTAGAGGTTTAATTACCCAAGTTTGAGGTTCTAACAACTCGAAGAAGAATATTGCATTTTGATTTATCGAGTCAGTTGCTTGGGAAAACTTTGGCCCGAGGCAAAATCTATTTGCAGGTGGCTGCTGTAGGTTGTATAGCTGACAGTCAACAAAATGACTCATATAATGGATATAGGCTCAGCGTGAATTACCCATTAAATATTAAAATAAACAAGCATACCATTTGTTTCAAGTACTTTGCAGTCCATGAACTTGTGACTAAAAACTTATCAGAGAATATTTGATTGTGTCGAACGATTTCAGTGGTATTTTTCGTGAACTCGCACCTCATGAAACGCCTCCTCTACCACTCGAAAAATTTCTCTATGAATATAAGGTACTAACGAATGAAACAATGGCACCTACCGTCTCGTGATATGAGTAGTTCATTGCGTTGGTAAATGATAGATTAAAGGTTAAATGCAGATAGTGATTCGAACTGATCATATGGAACATACAATAGAACCTGTAACATACAAGCCACAAATGTTTTTCAAATTACTGTATGGTATCATTCAATTGTTGTTTCAAAGATCTTGACGATAAATCGATATTTCATGTTTTTCTTGTGAGCTCAGCAATATTTCCTACTGACATTCCTTTCTTCGATTTTTTGTGAATATTAATTTATTGAAATATTCAGCTTCATAGTAAAGTTGAGATCAGAGCTGAATAATTCGTAAGCTTTTCAAGATCATTGAACTTGAATCAGACAGTCAAGTGACTCGAATTAAACTCAAGTCCTTGAAATTCCATTCTGGGTCGATATAATGAAGCTTTTGTCTAAATTATTTGATCGAACTCTCATATTGATGTGGTCGCTTGACGATTACCATTGTATTTTGACCTACAATGTCAGGACAATCACAAAACACAGTTTTTGACAATGACATGTTCCGTTAACGTTAGCAGTGACATGATATAATGATAACAACAATAACACGTCAAGTGAAACCGACTGAATGTGAACCAAACCAGATTTTAGAACAATGATCGCTGCTCACTGTTTTATATGCGCTTCATATAATGCATTACAAATGACTCATACAATTCGATTGCAATTATAAAAATTCCATAGTCAGACACAATGCAAACAAAATAACCGTCCCGACTGTAACCATGAATGATAGCCTTATAATATGTTTTAACATCAATTGCATCACATGATCTGAACACTGCTTTTTAAACTCAAATACAAAACTGTCATCTGCATTGAAAAGATGCTCCTATGGAGAGGTTGGGTATCGATAGAATCCAAAAAAATCCTGTTAATACAAATCTTATTCCAATTGCAATGATAAATACTCTATAAGATTACAGCTATTGAGTTGCGATAGCAAATCAACCGATATTCGTATTGTAACAAGTATAGCACTTGATTATTGCCATTGTTTATCAAAATACCGTGATGTTTTTCTGCCATTCATAACTAACGAAGTGATGTTTCGTGAAGTTGTGTTGCGTCTGCTTTCACATCATCTCATCTGACCTGCAATGAAGCGTGACCATATTTTATACTATTTAAAAAACGAGTTTGATTTTATGCATAAATAATTAAAGCAGAACTCATTAACTGATAAACATATCTTACCATTGCGAACAGTCTGTATTTTGCTTGTTACGATCGTAAACAATTGAAAATATTCCCCATCGAATTATTGACTAATTAGGCAGTATCGACCTGTTTACCCGTAAGAAAACGAGTATAAAAGGGACACAATGAGACGTCTCGATCAGTTAGGTGGTACTCAGGATCGTCTGAACAAGTAAGCAATAATGGGAGATACGAAAATTATCATTGGTATATCATGCGCTTGCAGTTTGGCAGCAATTATTGCCTGCCTTGTCGTGATACCATCACTTTATTCGACCATTCATCAGGTGAGTCGATAGTTTTTGATGTTTTTCATTCAAGTATACAACGTTTTAAGTAGAATAGTGAAGGAAACAATTTATTAGATTACAAATTTTTGAAGTAATTCACCGTGAAACTAACATTAAGCATTTGCATGCAAGAGCGTTTTGAAATTGCACTAGCGTTCGTTAGCATTTTATAGTTGTTACAATTAGGATGACAATCAATCGCGTCAATTATTTCAAAAACCATTTGATTTGTTTCAGATGCATGATGTGGTCATGGATGGAGTGAATGCGTTCCGTGTTGAGACCGATTCAGTCTGGGTTGACATGATGGACATCCAACTTAGCGTAACGCCCCCTTCAAAACCACAAGAAAGTCCATTCGACAGTCTGTTCCGTCAGAAACGTCAAAACAATGGACTCCCATCGTTCTGCATGTGTGAACCACCTAAGCTCACATGTCCTCCCGGACCACCTGGACCACCTGGAGAGGCAGGAGCTGACGGAGGTTAGGAAATAATCACAAATTTCAGTGTGGAAAATAGTCACAGGAAAATTATAGAAAAACTCTTCTCAACTCAAAAATCCCTTACAGAAATGCCAAGTTTTCATTTAAAAGAGTGTAATCTGCTTCGTTCCAAGCAATTCATCTCCAGCATAGGTTGTAAACGTATGAAACCGAGACAATAACTCGCCTAATAACTTCTCATAACTCGCCAAGCGCACAACAATTCAATAATCTTATCAAAATCTATTCATTTAAAACTGTCCTCTGTAATGTGAATAAGCATTTCAGAAGCTGGAGAACGCGGACCACCAGGCGAAGACGACAGTACCGCATTTGACCCTGCCACCTGCGCACCTGTTGACAAATCATGCATCCAGTGCCCAGCTGGACCTCCTGGACCTAAAGGACCAACTGGTGAGGCAGGACCATCAGGACAGGACGGACAACCAGGATCAGATGGAAAAGCGGGTAAAGATGGCCCACCTGGCCCAGCAGGACCAGCTGGACCAGCAGGAGCAAAAGGTGAAAAAGGACCAGCAGGAGCACCAGGACCAGCCGGAAAAGATGGTCAGCGCGGACGTGGTGCACCAGGTGCGAAAGGTCCAGATGGACCAGCAGGACCAAACGGCAAACCTGGCAAACCAGGTCAGCGAGGTGGAAAAGGTGCCCCAGGTCCAAAAGGCCCATCCGGTAACGCTGGTAAACAGGGAGCAGATGGTAAAGCTGGCAAAGCTGGTAAAGCGGGTGGTGTTGGAATGCCAGGCAATGATGCCGAATATTGTCCTTGTCCTAAACGTTCAATTATGTTGCATTAAGCTCAAAATGTGATCAGTTAAACAACATTAGAGAATGAATGAATACAATATTGTTGAATGCTTCTGAAACATTCATAAAGTGTTTTTTAATAAAACATCAAGATCAGGTCACTTGTGTTCACAGTTCTGTTCTCAAATGTTTCAGTATATTAATCAAGTTGGATAATATGACACGATAACGCAAAAAGATCAGTTTCGAAATAGAAGATTGCTGATAGAGGAAGCCGTACGGAATTGCATAATGAAATCTGGAAAAAAATAGTCAATAAAAATAATAAATTTTGAATACAAATGCAAAAAAATAATTTGAAATGGTAATTCGATTCGTCAAGAAAACAATCGCTTCCTAATGTAGCATTCAGTTCACTTTGTGTGTTACTGAATGGTTTGTTTCCAATTCATTATCGAACAACATTCGTTGAAACGTTCGTTGATATGGTGACAGTATATCATCGCCTTGGGCACAACAGTATGGACACAGAAATAAGATGGCAATAAGATCGGCAATGATCAGGAAGGAAATGTGCCATTGCTGATAAAGTAGTAATAAAATGTTATTATTTACTTCGAATTGAGTTCAATATCAGGGTTGATTGAACACCACACCGATACCGTGGAATGCTCCAATGTCAAAAAGTTGTAACTTCTCATCAACAAATTTATAGTGGTGTGAAACTTTGATTATTTCAACATTCCGAAGAAGCAATACGTTGTAGCAATAGAAATGGAAAGCGGTCAAAAAGTGAAACGATTAGGTGACGAATCGGGAAAGAATGAGCGGAAATTTGGGAATGCGAATGAAACTAATACAGAAGTCGACGATGACCCAGCTGCTAAAACATTATCGGATACAACATATTCAGATAGTGAAAAAATTATGCAGCGAAATAAAGAAAAACAAAGAGTTTCTATCTAATTCCTTTTGTCATCTTTAATTGACTGCATTATATCATTACCATCTCCATGGTTAACGTGAACTATCCAGCTGCTTAACGAGTCAAAAGAGTAGTTCATTAGGTGATATGAGATGAGACGATTTGAATGCAATTAATTCACTTGCGATTTGTTTATGAGTAGAAAAATCATAATATGCTCTTGTGAAATTAAATAAAACTGCAGGAAATGGCCAACAATTTCCAATTTGTTGAAGAAATACTTTAATGACTGATTATTCGATTCAGAAATGAATCATTTATATTCATGCTGAAATGAATTTATCGAGGCATATGAAATTAGATACGTTGTTGGATAGAGACAATGATCGCGAGACTGATCATGCAGTGGAAGCCGGCGTTAGCACAAAGTCTTTTCACTGAACGAGAACTCATTGAGCTTTGTTACCGAGTGCGAGAAGTGTTCTGGATGCAGCCAACAATGCTCGAGGTTGTTTGTTCATTGGCAACGAACACTGAAACTTTCCGAACGAACGTCGCTTTGCTAGATCGTTCAGAGCAAAACAATTTTCATGTGAATGCTGTAGCAAAACTGCTTTGGAACACTGCAGTGCATAAATACAGTCAGCAAAAGGAACACATGAAACAGCCTGTGTTCATTGAAAAGAAAATCAAACTGCCCTCTGCTGCTCGAATATTACGCAGAAAAGATGGGATGTGTCTTTTTGCGTTGTTCAGTTTAGCAGAGGATGTGATAATACCTTGAGCAACAAAACCAAGTGGACATTCTTTCAGATAAAACCACCCGTAAATATCTGTGGTGATATACACGGACAATTCCAAGATTTGTTGGCATTATTCAGGCTGCATGGATATCCACCAAGAAATCGATTCCTATTTTTGGGTGACTACGTTGATCGAGGGCCATTTTCCATTGAAGTTATAACGTTGCTTTTTGCTTATAAGGTACTTCTCAAGGTTCATACAAAATTCCTCTGTTTTCATCTATTCTAATTTCCAACAGAACAAATAATGAACTAAAAACTTTCATCAATAAACTCTGTCTAATTACATAATGTATTGAAGAGGATACAATCTTCAATTATCGCAATACACGTTTCTGTGTGCTTTATTGATGTTCTGATTGTTCAGCGCTATCGACGTGTATCTAATTAAGGTTTTATACCCAAGTACGTTTCATTTGTTACGCGGTAATCATGAATCTCGCATGCTCAACATTACTTATGGATTTTATCGAGAATGTATTCGAAGGTTGTTCATTGAGCAGCGTAATCGCATCTATCGTTTGCTCGTTCCCTTGTCCATCGTTCACTGATTTCAGATCATCGAAGTTAGCGCTGATGATAAGAATGTCAAAGAAATATGAGCACATCTGACGAATAATGCTCAATTAAAGAGACATTCAGAGCAACTTTTGCACAACATAGCATGAACATAAACTATTTTTCAGAGGCGGAATGAAGAAATTCTATAGAAAATGAATAGCACTTTGTGGTAAAATTTCTGATAACTTAATAACTCATCGAGCGATATGTCCAGTTTCAATTCAGGTACTCAGAGGTTCTATTTGAAGCATTCCAATTTGCATTTTGTTGCATGCCGTTTTGTGCACGTATCAAGAAACGTATTTTGTGTATGCACGGTGGTATCAGCGAGGATTTAACTGATTTGAAACAGGTTTGTTTCAGATTCTAGATTTTTTGAAATTCATTTATACTATGACGAATTCGAAGATCAATGCAAACCACTGATAAAGAGATAAAAATTTTAGTTGAAAAGAGTGGAACGGCCATGCGAGATTCCGGATTTGGGTATAGTAGCTGATTTGACATGGGCTGATCCACAAGAGAATGTGAGAGGGTATAAAGAGAGTCCGCGAGGTGCTTCTCGAGTATTTGGTGAAGATGCGCTTGATAGTTTTTGTAGAAATCTTCGGCTTGATCTCATTGTTAGAGCACATCAGGTTAGGGCATTATCTACCTTTTCATATATGTACTCATTTATCAACGAATTCTCATTTACGATATCAAGTTAGCACGCTTCTGTAGGAATGCGGTTAATAAAAATCCTCTTTTTGATCCTCATGTTTACGATCATTTCAATCGATCGTCCATTTTGATTGATATCAAACGGATCAGCTCAATCGTGACTGATTGCATAATGCGTTCTAGTGTATTAAAGAGGATGTCTTCAGTAAGATATTCACAATCAGTAGCAACCGCAATTATGCTCAATCGACCAGTGTATGAGAAGTTCATTTGTTGAAATGGGATATTAATGATTTGCATTTAGGTGAAAGAAAAAGGATATGAATTTTTCGGCAAAAATAAGCGATTAGTCACAATATTTTCGGCTCCCAACTATTGCTTTGGAGAATACGATAATGCAGCATGTGTTCTCAAAATATCACCGAATCTCGTATGTTCCTCAATAGCTATTCACTATTCATTACTCACCTTTCCTTCATAAGTATCAACCTGTATCTGATCAAAGAAGCAGTGATATATCAGTATCTCACTAACGAATACTCATAAATAACTAATAATTCGATTTTGAATGATTATACATGCAATTTCACCAAAGTGGAGCAATTTTCCGCAACCTGACTGACTGATTACTGTTTAAAATATTTGATCTTCTCTCACAGTCAGTCATCATTGTTATTTGCGTACCTTGTTTAAGCAAATTAAGCGTATCTAATACAAATTTAGGAATGTACCTTTGTCGTACACCGTCCAAGCGCGAAGAAAAAATGAATTCGGATGTATTTTGGACAAAAACTATTGCATGAAAGCTAATAATAATGAATATTCTGAAGTCTGCAACACCTCACAACTGGTCACAGTAGCGAATCAAAAGCTACTCCATTAGTTTTCGCATCGCCACTCTCACTGTTATTGGTGTTGTGAATATCAAAATTAATCAATGTGCCGTCATTTCTATGAACAGTTCGTTTTGACCTCATCTTGTTCTACAATATTCAAGAGGTGTCATCACAAAGTCAGTGTGCTATCGTCAGTAACAATGGCATAGCATCACTATGCTTGCTTACTTCTTGAATTTATCATTTTGGTTTGTTGTTACGTACTCGTTACGATATTTTGATAGGCCCCTCATCAAATGAACATTGTTTTTGACACTTCCATCAAATGAAACATCAATTTCTCTTTCGATTTATCATTTTCAACGCGACATTCGTCATAATCATCAAACAACTTCGATGACAGTTTATTACACTGCAGTCACTTGCTACATCATATGTACAGACATTCACATCTCATAAAACCCTAAGAAAACCACAAGCGATGATTGAAATTATCATAGAGTACGCAGCAGTTTTTGAAAAAAAAAACGAACAATTAAAAAAAGACAACGAAAAAGGGTAATGTAAGAGAGTAACGACTGATTATGACGGAACAAATATAATTCAACTTATCAGTTCAAGAAAAACCAACAGTCAACAAAAAAGATTTTAAGAGTGACAATAAATAGAACAAAATTTTGACTCAGCAATAAAGGAGTCAAATTATCTGCTAAAAACAAACTTTTCTCTCAGAGACTCGCTGTCGTTAAACCAAAAACAAAAAGAACTGAAACTGAAAAATATACGCGTAGGAATGAACTGAAAGTGGATAAAATTGAAAATTCATTTCTTATTGTAACATATCATCATTCATCTCGTTTGCAACTCGATTGATTGGTGAGTCAGGCTCAGTTAAATCCATCATAGTATTATGCCACATCATTTCCGAGAATACATCCACTGGTTTATCTTCGTTGCTTTTATTATTGTTCATCAAATTCATACGACTATTGCTGTTATCATTTTTTTCGACTGCCGATTCGATTTGAGGTAATGTGGATAGAAGTATATTCGGAACGTTACTGCCATACAGTACATACCACAAATCGACAAAATGTCCTCGAAGACGAGATTCCTTTAAAAGTAATAACAATTTATAACTGGAGAATCTATGGAAGCAAAAAAACCCATCAATGTTTCTCTTTACACTGACGACGTGATTCAATGAGAATGCTTTTGACTACTTTTCAAAAGAGGGCTCAAAACAAGCCACAACCAATGAGTAATTGAGAAATCTTCAGTAATTTTGGGCGAGAAAGCAATTTTTTTGTCAGGCTTCTTATTCAAAATAATGCCACTGCAATAAATGCTCATTTTATCACTTAAATTATAATGAACCAAAACAATGAAAAACCAACTGTTTTTGCATTGACAATTATGTTCCACAATTTAGTGGCCAGCTCTTTGCTGTTAACCGGATTTGAAGGAGCACTTTCTGAGCTGAAATAAACTTATGAATTTATTGTGAGATCATGTGCAATAAAAATAAACTATTACGATGTTCACTGAAAATCTTCTTCTGACAAATAAAACTTTTGCTGACTATAAAGTTGGAAACAAAGTCTCGTCGGACATTTAAAATTAGCACCAAACAAGAAATGAATAAAAATTCGATGGGAACACACCTGAGTGGAGCAAAGAAAGGTGGTCGTATGCAAAGTTGTCGTGGTATGTGATAACGTATCGATGGCTCATCATCGTCAACACTCATGTCGATCAAGCGATTCAGCACATCCTCAACCACCAACGATAGCTTCGATCGATGAACCATATCGATCAAATACATTATTGCCGCTTTACGCATCTATAATCGCTCGTTTTCTTTCATTTTCAGCTACTGAAGAGATTCGAAAAGTGAATTATGTGACACCGAAGGGTGACTAGTGCAAACAAAGCATGAAATTATATTGTCAGCAACGACAATGCAAACCTTCAAATTTTTTGGCCGTAAATTTTACTCACAATGACGGTGAGATCACAGGAGTTTTAGTGAACATTTTAGTGAACCAAATATCAATGTATAACTGTAATTGATCAAGAATTACGACGATCCGGAAACAACTGCTTTTTAGGACTGACAATGAATTTGATTGAAATGTTCATATCAAATTATTTTACAAACATTTCCGATTACCGAGGTACTTCTATATATTGATTCGACAACTTACCGGAGTATAGATTTTTGGTTGAGCAAATAACCAAAATATTTTCGGATCGAGCGGTATATGCGCGTAGCATTGCAACTGCAAAACAATTAGTAGTAGTGCCAGGCTGAATTCAGAGCGGACAAACTGGGATTACAAGTAATGAACAAAATCAGAACAAAGATGAAAATTTTTTGAAATGAAAAGATCCAACTTGATAAATCGCCTGTAAAGCACTAATACCAACGACATGTCCGAACGTCGGCTTCAAAGTGTCCATATCAAGCGCGTGTGTGAATTCACCTAACTTCTCCCTCATATCTGAATTCAGTGTATCTGGTGTCATGTTATCATCGAGATTATCCGCCGGTACTATCGTAGCTGCCAGTGCATTTATGAGTGATGCACGATAATGGTCATCCGCATATCTAAAGAAATTATGCATCTTGTTGCATTCAGATGCAGATGATCAATATATTCAGATGATCAATTACATATTATAAATTATTAATTTATATTATTTATATTATATTATTGTATTTTATTGAAATTATTACATTGCTTAAAATTATAAATATTGTACTGATTAAAATATATTATATAAATCCATGAACCATTGTGAATCCATTATGATTTTATAATGCATTTACAACGAGTCATAAATTTATAATCGAACAAAACATTTACTTTAGAAATTTTGTAGCGAAGTGATTAATAAATGCATAAGCACAGTACCTGTTCGTAGAATTGTCGTTGTACTTGATGAGTCCGATAATGAAACGATGGATTTCTGAGAGCGACGCATTTGAAGGTGTTCTCAGACGAGCCAACGCTTGAGGTAAAGCCTTCAGTTATATGCTATTATTTCAACACGAGATTAATATGAAGATCATTGAAAATTTCATGTTGCGATGAAAACTTCAATTGAAATGTAAAAAGAGTGAAACTTCTAAAGAATGTTATTAGAGAGCACTCCATATTTGTGAGCATTAATTGACGGATGAAACTGAATCAGTCAGCTCGTTTTGAACCATGTGTACTTTAAACGAACAATTTTCCTTTGAAAATGTCTTACATTCATAAGAAAATACAGTTGAAGATTAGTTGATGTGACGACAAAGCTGTTCGGTTTTGGTATATGAGATGCTGATTTACATCCGAACAATTTCTTGAAAAGTGACAATAATGCTGGAGGCCCAAGCCATGTTTCAGGCAATTTATTCACAACTTCAGTAAGTGAGAATGCCGCTCGACATCGTACTCTTAAAACAACCAGCTGTATCCAATCCAGTACCGATAAAATATGAGCTATCACAGAAAATGATGTATTTCAAGAAATATTTCCGATTCATAATATCAGTCGTCCGTATCGAATGCATAACGAATAAATAATTGTTCTGCTAACCTGTAAAAGAAATTTTCATTTTCAACAGTCTCCAAAAGGAACGTTCGTACTTGTGGACTAGGGAAACGCTGAAGAATGTCGAGTGCATGCAGCTGTGCGAGTATATTTCGTTCATATTTCAGCATATATTGCCACTGATAGACTGGTTGACGAATATTTATTTTACGTACCAACAGAAGATCCGGATCGATCCTCAAACAGCACTCATTATGCACACAACTGTGATCATTCGTATTATGAATAATCCTACCTGATCCAAAGTACCGGCGAATCAGGATCCATATTTGTCAAATCGATCTCTAGTTCCTCTCCTGACGACAGAGGAATTTTCTTCTTTTTCTGTCGACGACCCTAAAATAATTAAAATTGTGATTGAATTAATGCAGAGCAACAATTTTGTTTATCATCGATTTTATACGCGTCAAAATTTATACGCGGATAAATAAGGCAATAACTAACAAAGAAGAGTAATGAAAGGTGAACAGCCAAAACGCTAGCCTTAGAATGACACTGTAGATCATGCTTTGACTGATCACTGTCGATCTGAATGGTATGCGTGAATGAACCGTCCAATTCTTGTACAACCACTGTCACTGGGCCAACGTAACTGTAAACTTCCATATAACGAATTTGAAAAAGATCTTTTTCAAACAAATAAATTGATGAACAACATCGAGTGAATTTGATGTATTTATTCAAGTAGTCAAAATCAAAATGAAAATTGATACTGACCTCTGACGACCAGTGTTGACAGTAGGATCTTGTCTTATTTCCAATTCGATCATATTTCTTTTTCGATTGAATGCGTACTGAACCTGAAGTGAATAAATACAGTTAGCAGGACGCGAATAAAATTCCTATCTTCAGCCTTTCACAAACTCAGTAAGAAAAGGACAAATACGCTTCATATTTCCTCAATCAATGTAAAATTTTATAAATGGCGCTTGCCTTACCTTATGCGAGTTCACCGCAAAATTTGGTATATTAATTCACGGGTTTCAGTTAGTAATTTACTGCGACCACTGAAATGATCAAAACTAAAAACGAAAGTGACACGAACCTGAAAATTCGCATGACCTCCACCATATATCCATTGTTCAAGAAAAGTGGGCAGTTCTTGCCCGGTAACGTTTGATACCGTACGAAAGAAGGATTCCGTTGATACAGTCATATGCTGCCAATTGATTGGTTCCTTCTGTTTCTGACTGAACTGCATCGATACACTCAGAATCTTCTGCACTACCTTCAATAAAAATCTTTATTTCATTACTTATTTATATTAAACAGTCAGCGAGCAAAATCAGATTTATTTGTTATCGTCAAAATTAAGATAAATCAAATCCGTGAAAAGTTGCGGTCGTAATTAAATTATTAAATAGTTTAAATATGATAGCAGATACAATAATGAACAAACTTGAAAAAATGGCTCCTTCCCAAGTCTTTTCTTCAACATTCGAATTATAAAATGTCCCTTCTTGAAGAGCATATCCGAATATAACGGTGAACACGTGAATGAGTTACGAGCATCAAAATGCAGTTCTTGCTGAAATGAGCTGTTCTGCGTGTGCAACTAAACTTGTCTCACATTTCTTCTCCATTTTCAACTAATGGTAATCATTTTCACGACAACAAAAACTTCAATCAAGCAGGGCAATACAATAATTCGACAGGGTTACAAAAGTGATACCTTGACTTTACAATCGCTTTTCATTGGTCTCAACACAATTTGACCCCAGTGACTTTCATATTCACATACAGCATTCAGTATCTTTTTTATCTGCATCAAAAAACACATATCAATAACATTGACTAATTAACTATTCACTTTTGGTTTATTCCCGGCTCATTTGATGAATAATATACGTCTCACCCAGAAAAATACATTTTTCTTGAAATTCTCAATCATTGAATTAAATCAGAGTTCTGATCAACTGCAACCCAATTCATAATTCATTAGGGGAGGCACGTGGGAATCATTATTCAATGTTGGAATTTTTGATGGAAGCAATTCGTTATATATGAGATAAGCTCGAATTTCAAGGGATCTAAGAACATTGTATAGCTTTAAACAACGTACTTGGAACAAATATTCAGACATTCCAAAATAGCGTTCGATGAACAGACCCGTTATGAAACTATAAGAACATCATTAAGCACATTAGTGATGATAACAAGGATGAATACAACAACAATGATAAAGCAATGAGAAGGAACTGTAAAAGCTTGAACTAACACTCAGCGAACAAGATCTGCAACTAGAAACCACTAATAAAAGTAGTCGTTGTGCTTATCGGTCGTATTTAAATAAATCAAATGAGGGAAATGAACCTTGCAAGCGATTTCATCAACCACGTATCTAACCAATTTGCAGCGTTGACAAAGCAACCAAAAAATTGCTGTGCTATCGCCAGTGCTAGAAGTGATCGAGTTTCCTGAAATTCGATAAATAAATCAATCATCTGATTTTATTTCGGTAATTATGTATCTACTTCCTCGACATTTGAACAACCAACTTCTTATTTCATTTAATCACAATGAGAAAAAAGAATAAAAGATGAATTTGATGGAAGGAATACGCATGAAACATCAACTGAAATGAATTATATCAAACCTGAACTGTATCCAGGATCTTTTTGTGGTACAAAATATTCACTGACAAAATCGATATGCCCGAGAATGTTGTCAGCGAATCGGATGCCTAGAAAAAGAAGTAAGTTTTGTTGAGCATTGCAACAGAATGAATCGATTTTTTATGAGTACCTAATTCACCACAGAGAAGAAACATCAAAATAAAATGAACGTTTCAAAGTTTTCTCTACATCTAGGTAGAGGCTTCCAAAATGCGACTGAAATATTATAGAATGACATTCAGTGAAGGGACTAAGTTCGAAGAAGTTTCGGAATGAAAATTCCCGCATGTGAATGATTAATCGAATGAATCAAAAATCAATTTACTTTATCAACAAAGACTTGTTTATAAGATGAATATGGGAAACGACACGAGAGCAATTCCTCAAAAAATTCGAAGACACGATCAACCGTTGACGCAGTATGTTTGACGAGATTCGATAGTGACGGTAGTGCAAAACTGGTAATCTGAAAAACGATCAAAAAAATGACTTATCCAGTGTACAGTTACTTTGCTACTCAATGATCCTCGATTTATTTATTATTCCATCGCAAATCAGTTATAATAAATCGCTATCATCATTATCAGATTTCGAAATTTTCGCCACTAAACTTATCGACTGAACGAACGAACTTCGAATAAAGAGCAATTTGAATCCGTCAACCTCTGGCATATCCGGCTGAACAACCGGTGTGAAATGCCCAACAGCAAAACCAATATTAACCGCAGACGTTGGCAACAACAACTGATAATGATAAACTTTTGACTGCATATCTTCAGTATACACAGTATCCTGAAATCGACATCATTGTCAATATAACTATCAAATCAACCTCAACCGAAATAAACCCGTCTGAATATTGATTCCAATAAATCAGTTGAACAACTTTTGAATTTCCACCACACCACCATAATCCGAATTACCGAACACGAATGTATTTCGGGGACAGAGATAAAATTGATAACATTGCATGAATTGAAATGCGGAAGTTAAAACGAATTAATTCAATCAAGAAAAGAACTCACAATGAGTTCACCGCTGGCGATCACAACAAATCCACAAGCAACGGTCACTTCTAATCTCCAAAGACACAACTGATCTGGCGCATCTAAACTTGGTAACCACTGACGCGTACTTGAGAGCACATTCGACCTGCAATTGCTTCATTTTGATGAGGAACTGTATGAATGAAACTTTATCAGAAGTCACCTACATTAGGTGATTACAAAGTATACATACACCAGCACATAAGATATGCAAGCCACTGAGAAAGAAGTCCAAATATGGGCGTGCAAATTGAAATTATATGTATTGAGCAAGAACTTACCGAAAAGTATACATATGCGCACCTTTCTCCAGAACACCATCTCTTGAAAAATAACCAACAAATTGAATACCCTAAAAATCACACTTAGCAAACAAGGACATAAATAGGTCTATCCACTCATCGAGTAACATCAAACTTTCGTCCAATTATCGAATAACTGTTAAAGACGAAAAACAATGCACTGTTTTGGTTTCACCTGTCTTGGTTTAACCACTTTCACATCAACACCAACTTTAACAACCATCTGTTCATCCATACTATCGTAACAACTTTCCGGTACATTTATGAGAAGTTCACCTTCAGAGTCCTCGAGCACATCGTACATTTGCTGTGATAAACGTTTCAAACTTTGATCTGGACACTGCACCAAAAACTGCAACATTTACAAACATTCATAACATCAAATATAATTATGAACATTTTACGCATAAATTTCATAACCAGCACAAATTTGCGACATAATAAAACCTCAAAGATGCCATCTCCAATGTGCGATATATCAATATGAATGGATATTATGAAAACCTCAAGAGGATCACGCCTCGTATATTCGGCATCTTCATCATTCACCGTAACACGTCCCAAATTCTTCTCATCTTTCGGCAGTTCGTTAGGAAGTAATGCATCTTGAATAGATTGCATTAAATATGGCATCTTATATGGTATTATCTTAAAATCCAGCAGTATTTTCACTTTCTCAGAAAGTCTATTTCAGGGATTCGATCAAATTTTTTTGGCGCATGAGATTCACTTATTGGTTACATTTTAATTTCATGAAGAATGAAGAGCGATACAGAATAAAATTAGTTTTGAACAAGATGAACAGCCCTAAGAGCACAATAAAAAACACAAAATAAAACTGACCAGCGCCAAGATTCAAGCATATCTGTCTCAGCTCAGGGTGTATTGGCACAAGCGATAACTCGGTGAATACCGAAAATGATTGCTGTTGAAAATCAATGTCTGTTATGGAAACGGTCTGAGACAGAACCCTAAAATTGCAGTTCAAGAATGCAGACGTATCTTGCGAGGATTCACCACCAGATATAACACCACCGCCATAAGTGGCCGGAGGTACATTTGTGTGGAACGAATTCGTTGATAACATCTGCAATTTGATGTTCACTTACTTCATTTCACTAAATATCTCGCATTGAATTTCTATATCGTCCGAATATCACACTGCGCAATTCTGCTGAAAACGGTAAACGACTTTAATCAATGAACATTCCGTAGTAATCTGCTATGTAACCCAATGTCACGGATGTGCTCTTCTCGCATTGCTATGCAAAGAATTTGAATCGAAACAGTGCCACATCTCTAGTTTCAAACAAGTAAATTACAATGACTGCATGACCTACAACTTCTGAAGTCCATCTTGAAAGATCGTTGGTTTTCACGTTAGTTGGCCTATAATTTTTTTCACAACCTACATCAGTAGGCATCAGCATAAAGAATCGCTTGACGCATGAGATCAGATGATAAGATAGAACGAATAGAACTCGTTAATCGAAACCATAATCCGAGATTTGTTATCAGATATATCGCTAAAAAATTTGCATATATCATTTATTCATTCACCATGACGACTACGTACAAAATCACCCGCTCACAAACCAAGAAAACAATGAAGGCCAGAGATGGGCAACTGGCACGCTTTCATTAACTAGCGAAATAGATAAATATTCCACTGATTCGTTAACAGTCGCCAGTTATTGATAGCGCGCTAATGCCCATCTTTGACAAAAACGATATAAAATCAATAACTGTTTAATGATGTGAAGATATGCAGTTATCATCTCAAAACATGTGAACAATGAAGGTCAACACTGTAAAATCACTGCAACCACAAGATACAATTGTCCCAAAAACAGTCGGTCAAAATACACTAATTGAAAACATTTACTTCAGATTAGTTACGAATATCATGAAAACAATTAATTGAGTGGCAGAATTCCTACTATAAATATCAACACTAAATCGAAAGAATCCCTACTGCAAAAAAGCTCCAAACTCTCACTTCATCCAATGACTTACAATGCTTCAATCGAGATCAAAGAGTATCACAGCTTAGTATGAGGTAGACAAAAATTACTCCTCAATACACTATTATTGCTCTCATCCAAATTATGTCTAGAAAGAAAAGTAAAAAAAAAAACGACTAAATAAAGCACAACACCAAATAAAGCCATCACAATATCCACCGCTAAACAAATCCACTATTCAACCGGGTGCGTACACGCATATTCACTGCCATAAGCATTCGCATTGTGTTTCGGCATGAACAAGAAACCGTCTTTCACTTTACCGAGGAACATTTCCGATATTTTGATCCAATCTTGCGATAAATCACTTGCCAGTAACGTTTCCAAATCATTTCGACCTCGAAATGCAGGCGGTCTTTCGTTGATACGCTGCGGGATCACCTTTAATTTAACGAATCAAAGACGGGTTCCTCTGATGATGTGGATCGAATAGTTGAAGAATTTTGAATATTCCTCTGTTAATTGAATCACCCATGAATATAATGTTGATGAATAGTTATTTGATAGCTGAACAAACGAATCACAAACAACAATAATAATTAACCTCAAGTAATGCAACCGGAATATAGCGATAAGCAAATGATAACCATTCTAATAAGAAATTTCTTGTCTTCTCAACACCTTCATCATCTGAACCCCAATGATCAAGACCGTAGTTCACAAAACTGAAATCATTATTGATACCTGTGTTGTCGTTAGTGGTATTGATTGCATCTGATTTTATACATTGCGAAAATTCAGATTTTAAAAAAGTTCCGCGAAAACTGATTTTATTATTTCAATTTCAGGAATAAATTCACTAACAATGATGATAATGATAATAAAAATAATAATAATAATAAAATGAATGAATACAAATAATCATGATGATACCGCTGAATAAATTCCAAACGCTCCGTTGCAGATATATCCCAGTCACGACGTTCTTTTATCTCAGTGAATATCCACGGCTTTATCAATGCACCACGACCTATCATCACTCCATCCACTGGATAATTTTTCAGTCTCTGTAAGGCACATCACAATGTAGAATTTTCCAACAAAATAACAAAAACAATAACAATTAGTATCATTTTATGATTGCATTCGATTCTGAAAATAAAAATCGGTTTAACTGATGAAAAATCACTAAACGTGCGTTGTAGTAGTCGTGATGGGATAGAACATCGCCACACACCCAAAACGGTACTTCACCAGCTGCTTCAGAACAGTCACGTGTGTACTCCCAATCGGCCAACTTTGTGTACCTTTGTTCTCTTAATACATTCTAAATTACATAAATCCAAAAAAACGTTTCTAGTTGATAATCTATAACCTGAACGATTTTATCTCAACCAATTTCGAATGAAGAAAAAATTTTAGAGAAGTGATAAAAATTTTTGAACAATGGACTGCGAAATGAAATAGTGTGGAACAAGAAATTCGTGCCAAAAAATGAGAAGATTATAGCAATAATTACTTCGATCTTGGGTGAAGAGTGACCAAATCAGGCACACTTCCTGATACTAGCTGTGCGATTGTTTTATGAGCGGTGTACACGTTCTCCTATCATGAAAATAATTTATTACAAACACACTAATGAAATAATGAACGAATGAATGAATGGACAAACAAATTTAACTTTAATATGTAAATTTACTTTATAAATATATCAAGGATCATTTTTTCCGCATATCTTATAAAACAACTACGTTAAGAAGACGTATCAATTCAAATGAACATGAAATTAATGCCATAAACGAAAGAAACTTAAAATGAACCCTCAATCCGGTTCTCAATTTGACACTGATCGGTAAATCGCTCATGACTGCTCTCATTGATTTCACCATTCCATTCAGCTTACTAGCTTTTGATGCTAATGCGCAACCAGCACCTTTATTGTTGATCATATCTATTGGACATCCGCAGTTGATATCAATGAAATCAACCTTCAATTTCAAAGAATTCAATGACCTATTTTATCAGGCACATGATGACGATTTTATGTCGAATATTCCAATAGTTTACGGCCATCAAAGATTCCTACGAATTATTTATTTATCATCAATAATCTGCCAACGTTTCAGTGCATAACGCCAACATCACACGAAAAAACTTCCTTCTGTGTGACAAATTTTTCAAATACTCGCCTATTTCGCACTTTGCATTCGAACGCTTCATTCGCATGGAACCTTGAAAATGTGTGCATCAGCCATCGACGTTTTACCGCACTATATCAATTAAGGTCAACATTTCGTGCTTAAATTAAACCACTCATATGATGCGCGATACACCACTAAACATTGGCGGATTACAATAAATAAATAATCGCTGCGCAATCGCTAGTCGTCTTAAACAAATACTATTCTATTCGAATATTCGCCTTAACATAAAATCAGTCGATATAGGTGAAGTGCTAAAAAATCCATGAAAATACTAAAACCATACGTAATCAATTCCCATTAAATATCGTTCAATGAATTAAACATATCCTACATATAACATAAACCTCACTCTTACGCTTTAATTATTGATCACCAATTCACATCACTCAAATACAATTCGTTCAGTTATTTTTTTGAGCGACACTGTTTGTGTAAGCTTAAATAGATACACTCAAAAATTCTCAAACTTACTTCCATATTCTCACTAATAATCTGCGATGCACGACACATCGTATCCGCAAACCCACCAGCCAATTGAACACCAAATATTTTCTCGGATGGATGCCTTTTTAGTAGAGACCATTCCGATGCCGTACCGCTTAAGAGACTTGTGCATAAACCTGAAACATCTCACTCATCAATCCATTCAGAGAACACACTTCTTTATTTACTCATCAGAAATTATTGTTTCTTTGAATCTTATCTTGACATCGCTTTTTGCAATTACAATACGCATATGAAAACGAAACCGATATCAACTTAGACATGAATTATGGAAATGAGAAACACTCCTTCGGTATAAGATGTTTAAATAAAATTGCTAGACGGCAATTCCAATTCAACGGTGCGATTCTTCAGAAATAAATCATTCATACATCAACAACGACATTCAACTACAAAAAGTCATGAATCATTATGAAGCAATGCGATTTGAACTAGTGTTCATCAGGGAATGGGCCCCGCGTCGGTGTCCCCGATGGGGAGCAACCACCTGACAATTTGGCTCCCTGCTATTTTAGATGGTTTCTCTCCGTACGAGTTACACACACCGATAAACGAGTGTTAAAGATAAACAAACTCACACATTTCGCTGCATGTTATTTCCACACCCAAATCAACGCATAAACGTCGAAAAGGTAGATTACCGAGAGTGGTAAGAGGTGACAAATACGGTTTGCCAGATAGGGTTCGCATATCCAATTTCGGCTTCTCTCGTTCCACACAACCGATGAGTTGTTCCGATTCGTCTAATTGTAAGGCCTTTGGATAAATATTATTCGATGAAATATTCATGAATTGCACAGAAATACAAATATTGCTGCACAAGAAAAAGCCAAATTATATCGTGAATATATTCAATTTTTATTACGTATCAGTATTGTAAGCTCAGAGTGTAATACTTTTGAGAATTATTTCTTCTACAGCGTTCTGCATGAATGAACAGAAATTAGTTTGCAGTCGGAAAACTAAACGTTACTTTTTGGTTATAGGTCCTTCGTCATATGAATAAAGTACAATGAAATGATTACATTTTGGGATTTTGTGAAATCATATTCCTTTTTACGTAATGCTTTTTGGATTTGCATTGAGTTAACGTTTAACGTTTCTGAATATCCATCAGCTGCTTCTTTTCGCTTTTGCGATAAGTCCTCAGCGGTATGCGCATCTGCGAATCTATAAGTCATCGTGCTGGTGGAAGTGTTCAATTCAATATTGAAACCGAACAATTTTCTATAACTGCCGAATTTTATTCAGCGAGTTGGAATGTGCCATATTTGCGCATCAATCATAAAAACAAGAAAACAAAAATTAAAAGTGAGAAAATAATAAAATGATGAAATATCTTCGCATTTTCTGATGATCTGATATAAAGATCACTCCAAATGAATTTATCGCAATCTGGATACATTCCTAAAAATGCTCCTTAATTTCCAATCTCAAAGACAGACAGAATGAAAGCTGTCTGATGATATTTGTACGAACATTCAGAATAATCACCAACCTACAAGCGTACGAGAACGGACAATGACCTCTTTGATCGAAGATGTAACATGAGTCACCAAGATCTGGTGGTTTGACACTCAGATACTCATCAAGTGAATGTAGCGATTTACATTTATCACCGAATTTACATTCTTTATTCGAGATCAGCGAAGGACACAACTTCACGTTTTGTTTACGCATTTCAGCACGTGCCTTCAAATAACGTCGTTTTCTTGACCGTCATTCATTCATCTATTTCTCGACTTCAACTAGTAAAAATTCATCAGATGACAGTGTTTCATTTTGACCCTTCATTATGCATTCTTAATAATCCCCCTAGCTGAAAAAAGTTGCGAACGCTTTCGGAAGGATGCATAGAGACGATTTCAGTGACAAATTTGAGATTATGCGATACGTTACGAATATAACCTTTGTCATTTGTCTGCCACGTTCTCGGTTCACACCTCTCAGCTTAATTTTCTTACCGGATTCATCACGTGTTGTCTTTTTTAAACCTGGATAACATTTCATGAACACACTTTTAAAACTCAACTTTGAACGTTTCATAAATGTTTCTTCTCAGTATCATGCTCATGCTATTGCACTGAAATCCTTATACAGCGATTATATGATGCTAGCCCAGTCGCACATACAAATAAGCAATCCAACCGAAAACCACTGCACATACCGTTAGATGGAGCATTCCTATGGAGATCGACTAAATATTCTTCCTTGATTCTAGCATATCCATCACTTGAAATTGGCTTTTGTGACTGCAGCTGACCGATTTTTTCACTAACCGTATTCACTAAGCGATCATCACTTTCATTGTCATCACCATCCATTACTGCATTATTGGCAATAGGATATTGATTTTCATTCATAATACCACATGCAGTTGGCATTATCAACCTATCACTGTTATCAGTCTTTCGACTAGCTGAAGTTAACGATTCATCAAGTCAGTTTGTTGTATAGGATAAAAGCGAAAGAGCGCCAATCAACTTCGGTGTAACTACTCATCTTTATTAGAGTACTTCGAAACGCTCCAAAGCGAACCCGATGATTCATCATATTTCTCGAAAAGCAATTTCTCATTGAACCGTGGAAAGCATATCCAATGAAGTGGAATAAATTCAAACCGCAAACAAGAAATGACACACACCTTAGTTGAGCATTACGAATTGATATGAAATGCTGGACTTAACAGTAAATCAATTTCAACAAATGATCAAAAAGATTTTCAAATCGAAGTATTTTATTGATGAACCATTTTCAATGAGATTTCAATATCGATTTTAAAACATCACACGAAGTGATTACGAAATAAGCTGATAAAGAGAAATGATTGCTAGAAAGAATCACAGCTTGATAATACATATTCTAATCACCAACGCTAACCGGAAGAAAACGAGCAGGAGATGAGAATACAATACAAACAAAACCTGAGAAAGAAATCAAAACGCGATAAGCAACTTAAACGATAAAATGGTTCGATAGGTGAATTAGTAAACGTTAATTCTTATCATACTGAATTTTTAAGTATTCTATTTCCCCAAATCATAGAGATGAACACAATATTTTTCATCGAGAACTATTTGCTTTACAATTATGAATACACGACTAGGCATGACATTATTTTACGCGTTTGAAATTCATTTCACCTTACATAAAATTATTTCTGCTCCGCAATAGTAACAATAATACTGATAAAGATAGCAGCTATCTTCTCCAGAGATTTACAATTCTGTGCGATTCCATTCAGAAATATACACGACTGAACAACGCTCAATGTGGATTGATCATATGGATATCATCTGTTTAGGTGCAGTTGATGGAACAGCGGTACCTTCCCGTGGTCGCGCCTGCTGTCTCAACTGAACCCGTATGCTCAACGACTCGTCAACTGAACAGCTGTCGGAATCGTCAACCGTCCGACTCGTTAGGCCGCACTACAAAACGTGGTAACGCATAATACCATCAGCCAGTTCATGATAGGACTGATTGACGGATATATGCAAACACGACAACAGAGAGGACGATGCATATTGGTGAAGTCGCCTTACTGGTAATCTATAGTATGATACAGTAAATACTCTACATAATTCATACAATAAGCACTAATATATACATACATGAAGATCACATTTCCATATGACTGTTTCAGCAAAGATAACGAGACAACGACAAGTGAAAAAAATGAGGCAAGAAGAGATTGGATAGATGTTATTTTCCAAAATAATTTGTGAAAATTGTGATTAAAAAAGAAACAATCGACGACAGTATTAGTAGTTATAGGTCAATCGTACCAGCGATGAAGTTATTTAGTTTTTTTTTTTTTACAATGACAGCAATCGTAGAGAAAAACTGTTGTTACAATAGATTGCGTGTTAGAATTATTGAAAACTCCAGTCAAGATGGATTTCAGCGAGAAAAAGAAAATTTAATTCAATAAATGCACAACATTAGAGCTGATACCAGAGATCCAACAAAAACTTTTGCTATTAAAGCGCAATACGATTAAGTGATCATTGAAACAAACGGAACTATTGTAATATTAGCACAAAAATCTATAATGTTTAGTTTCAAAATTCTTCATAGAAATTAAAAAAAGCACTTGTTCCTCATAGAATAATTTTCAACTTACGAAACAATCAAGAAGCGAGACGAATTTACACGATGACAGATGCCGAAACATCGCTGTTCTTGAAATTTGAACGGTTAATAAAATAACCTGTACCTGATGATGCTCTTAGAACGACCTTGTATATAAACCATGCCGTTCTGAGAAGTCGCGCAATTGTCGTGAAATTAATTGCATTTTCGATGGTCGTATCAGCAATGCTTCTGCCGTATCTTCTATTTTTGCATGATTCCGCCGAATATACAAACGTGCATCTTTTTGCATTTGAGCTAACCTATTTGAATAAATTAAGCTGTTCAAATTAGATATATTCAAGGATCGTTACTGCTTCAAATTTTTAATTCCATCTAACCGATCCATCAACAAATAATGCTGGATCGCTGGATTGGCCAGGCGACAAATGAGCATAACATGAGCACTAAATAATTTAAATGAGCATTGTAAGAAAAATCAAGTCACTCTCTAAGAATCGAACGGACTAACTTATCAGGATCGATTTCGTCGAGAGTATATGGAAAACTCATATATGGATTGAGTCTAAAATATGTATTCGCTGGCAATAAATCATGCATACATAAATGCACCAGTTCAGTGTCGGTGGCTGAATCAACTATACGCGTTATTTTCTCTTGAACACCAGTTGATGACCTGAATTGAACACATATTCAACTGATTGCAATATCATAAACTGCATCATATTATTTACTTGTATTGTACTGAACATTTATCACATTACTACAATGATCCTATAAGAGATCATCATGAGTGCTGACTGGATAATGACACAGAAGATAGAAAGTAACTGACTTGATATGGGTGGTATCTAATTCGTTAACGTGATGACCATTTCCAACAGAAACAACACACTGAAAACGTTCATTCGGCCACAGCATCCGTGCTTCATGCAGTGCTATAGCTGTTGGATTGTTCGCTAATACTCCACCGTCCTGATGAAGTACTGATCCCAAGAGCACCTTAAATTCTTTTTTCAGCAATGAAGAAATTTTTAATACCCTCAAGCAACTATTATAAAGCAGCTAATTGTTAAAATCATCATTTCAGTGACGAGAATAGGGTGTTTAAAAGAAAGAAATTTTACTGAATTCCGAGCGGAAAATGCTGACGAAAATGAAATACTATTCACCAGAATGATAATGATTAGAGTAAAGAAAACAATAATGATGATAACACTTGGAACAATAAAAATATCATTTCTAGTAATACTAGCCACAATAATGATAATAATAACGATCCTAAAAACAACAGCAAAATGGAACTAATGATAATGAGAGAACCTCTTCAAAATAACCGGGTGCTGCAGTAGATGCTTGTAGCGCTTGCCATATCATATCCCTGCAATCACCTCTAAAATGGCCATCACGTCCAGGAGGATATTCATAATTACGGAATATATACGGTTGTAACATTGACGCATTCACTACGCAAGATATAATACTCAGCTTCGGTGCATTCAATGAGCGACAAGAATCAAGAATTGTCCAGTCATCACCGATTGCCTTTAATGGTACACTTTTCAATATTTTAAATATCGCAATGCTTCTCTTCGCTACACATTCTACAATCGTTATCGCGTTTCATTATATGCACATTATAAAGATATATACATCAAATAAACACTTTTCATCCCAGTGGCATTTTGATTAACGTTACTTACTCTAACAATGAAGAAACAATCATCTCAACTACTCTCAAGAAAACTTTAAATATTCCGTATTCAATAAAATGCTGTACAAATTTGTTCTAGGAAATCAATCCACACATTTTCAGAGCTTTCAACTCTTCTTTACATTATTAAGTTTTTCAAAAATCGATTGCAAATAAATTCAAATTCATATTTTTGTGATTCGCACTAAACTATATAACACCACTACCATCACCACCAACATGCACACATGCTCTATTATATCACAGAGTACTTCTCATGTCATAAAAAAACAAACCTTCCAATGAAAACGTAATATCTACATCAAGATTAAGAAGAATTTACAGCTCACCTTAATCAGAATGTCAATCCATTTTTTCGTATTATAATATGAATGTGAGAGTAACAGTCCCGAAACACCTGAGAAACGACCTTGGGTGAATAAATCCTTTGAGATACTCATGTAAATCTCCTTACAATGTTTGATCGAATACTTTTTTGCACCCAGTAGGATAGCTATGATGCCGCCTGTGCTTACACCAACAATGTGATCGAACATTTCGGCCACCTTCAAATAATTATCTCCTTTATGTAATGACTTCAAGTTGTGATTGAAACAAAACGACAGATTGAAAATAATGATAGTAAGGAACCTTGGGTCCGCCTAACGCATCTTCGAGAGCTTGTAATACCTCGAGACCCATCATACCACGAGTCCCACCCCCATCAATTGATAGTATTCTAACTCCACATCCTTTCGGATAATTCACATAACCAATCACCGATAAACATTTTCGGATATCACCTTTCAATTCTTCATCATCCGTTCTATGTAAACATTTCAATAATATCTTCATGAATCGTTTGTTCTGTAAATGTGTCATTAATTCAACGAATTTCGGAAACATTATCTTGGTTTACCTATGAAATCAGCAAACCAAGATAACCTTTCCTATTTCACTGGAATATCATCATGAGTGTGCACCCAAGAGAAGAAGTGTTATGAGATCATTATTATTATCATCACAAGTGTTATGAGATCGATTCTAACTTTCGTACTCAAACAATATACCCAAACATGACAACACGAACTACTGTAAAATAATGCATATATGCTTAAAGTACAATTTACGATTGATCAATCGTCAAAATTCAATCTTTCTATCAGTGTGCCATAATTTTCCCCGTGATTTGATGTTATTGTTCGCACTCTTATCTAATATTTTTGAATTAATAAAATACGACTGCTAAATTATGCTAATAATGATTTTAGTGAGTAATTATGATCCTGATATGACAAATAATAATTCACAATACCTGCATGGCAATTATGCGAGTTGATGGATATTCAATAAAATGATCACATATCTCTTGAAGTCTTAATTTGGTTAATTCATTCGAATTAGTATTCATCAGGAATTTATTCAATAAAGCCTGCGCTTGATTCGCAACTTCAACAATTGAGAAACGCTTCGTTATTATGCGTGCTGATCTAAATGTTATAAGATCACACTATTTTAACGAATCATAAATCATGATTGTAATTATTGAAAATGGTAAAAATTAATAATGTGACAGATCAGCGGTATCAAATACATCATTCTATGCGTCATAAAAAATGATTTGGACTCTTTCTAATGATCTCCTCCATTATTTATTCCACTCTTATCAATAGACTCATTCTTTGATGAACTGACATTTTATGCCGATAATCATCATCACACTACCGAAGTTTCAATAAATTACTGAAAGTCATGAATTTGATTAAGTAATGAAATGAACGCAAATAAACGAAAATTCTAACATCGTCTTTTTTTCGGTGAGCTCAGCCTTTGGCTGTTGGCTGCTTGAGCTCCATAATGAACTAACAACACCAGATAAATATCCCAAGTACGTTGGTTGTGGTTCTTTCTTATTGTCATCTTCTGATGGTTTAATAACGGTCGGTAGTGTTGACTGAGGTGAGTCCTGAAGCACATGACACTCACAATCAAATCGATAACAAATACTGAGTCACTCGTCGGATATCACAATCTTTAAAAGAGTTATTTTCAGAAGAAAGTCTGCTATCAACTACTGAGTTCGCCTCTAAAACTTTGGTTAGTTTCAACTGAATCAATGAACGATCAAACAAAACAATCCTAACCGCCGACTGATCACTTGAACTTGATGCAGCAAGCGTTGCTTTCAAAACAACTTCTTCACTCGCTGAAGACCTCCAAAACCGTAATATTGCTAATGACGATCGTGACATACGGTTTAACATACTCGTAATTATTGTTATTACAGTTTGAACACTCTGAAATTAGAAGAAATCAACAATGACGCATCCTTTCTGACTACGAAGCAATTTTATGACACGAGAAAGGAGTTGGAATTCAAATTTAACGCTGAATTTAAATGGTATACAAATTCAAATTATCTCTTGAAAGCGGATGGAGAGTTCACATTCTCATGTGATCGTATTTAAAATTAGAGATGTTGAAGAGGAACGAACCAGCAGTTGGGATTGATTTCTTACGGATGAGATATAGCCGCGATCTTACACCATCCACTAATTCAACTGGGAACTCATCTGATCACGTGACATCGGTAAATAAAACGGCATTACGTGCGTCACGAAATCTTGAGTCATATACAAATGTGGGGTGATTCGGCCAAGACTCACAACGTGCCACAATGCTCAAGTTGCCTGCAAACATCAAAAATCGCTCGCTCGCTCGCTTGGCCATATTCTTAACCCTCTGACACGGGATTCGGATTAACAATGGAGATGGTTAATTGAATGAGGCAATAAGTAGTAATTTTAAAGTTACTTCAGTCTTGACATATTATTAAGAAACAACATATTGCCATGAAACAGCTCATAATCCATAGGGTTCATGATGATTATCCAGTCATAATGATTATAATGAAGGCTGTAAAGCTTATCGTTGAATTCACTGTGCCTAAGATTTCACACTCCCTACTGATATCAAATATGTCAAGTTTGGTACTGATTAATGCTCATTTGGAATAATTGCTATATATGCGAACAGAGAAGAAAAACAGAATCTTCATTAAACTGTACAATCATCTTTTGAAATATTTTGTTTTGTTTAGAGAGTGCTTTAAAACCAACTGAACCAAATCACTCGATCGATGCACGGATAAATATTTTTTTCTGATGTGAGTAAGAAGCTCGGATTTTGATTTACTCACCTACTCCTTGCAAGTCCAGAACTGATTATGCGTGTCTGATGTCCAAACCCTATCCTATTTAAAATCTTAATGTTAGCAGCAAATTCGTTCTTTTAAATGTCAAGAAATGAAGTTCGACGAATTATAAAGCTATGTAAACGTGGCTTCATCGAGTCAATTCGTGAATATATCACATAATTTATCTCAATTAATGGTAATCTAATTGAGGATAACAGGTATTGGTATTTAGGTATGTGCAGATGGTAATGATGATGATGACCTATATACCCGTCCAAATATAACAATGTAAATCGCTCCAAATACTTTCAATAAAGTTGAATAAATACTTTCCCAAATGCCACTTCCACAAACAATCGCTATCCCATCCCATCCTATCCCATTCCATCTATTCGATCATCACAATGCGTTCGTCAGCACCGTTATTCTCAATCATCTTCATTGCAATTTTGCAACACCATTTCACAATTTCAGGTTAATTTTACGATTTAGTAGTAAATTTTGTCGAATCTATCTTAGAATTCTGAGTTTATATTCTACGAATTTGTAGCATTAAGTGTTCAAAACGAGACTGATCAGTCTTATTGTTTGAGGAAGTTGTAGGAAATGAGCGTTGAGTAGTGCGAAAATATGTAACATTAGATTAGCTAACATGCGTATTTTTCGTGCTTTAACAAAAAGAGTGCAACTTTAGTGTTGTCTGTAAGTGTTCATTGAAGCATTCTTGAATGCGTCAACAAATCTGATAACTTCAATTGTTCACAGTCGCGTTGACTGCTAAGTTCCGACCTCAAACTACTCGTATTGATACATGTGCATTTTTGATAAAATCATGAATAATCTCCGAATAACATAAATGTAGTTAATTCACTTGCCTTTAAGACGATATATTGAAGAAATTTTACAGACACATCGTTTCAAGAAACAAATCGTCGAGTTACTCATCAGATAATCAATCCATTATTACATCCACTCTTAAAGTTATTCGATATAATGGAAAACAATATAAGACAATTGGAACATGCTGATGAGGTTCAATCTATCTCAAACATTTTTTCATTTACTCACCGGCTTGTTGTTCGTTCAAATGCACTCAACGTGCTGATCGCCATCAGCAAGATGAAGTTTCCGCTTGATCAATCTTTGTTACACCTGCACTGTAACAATAAGGATAGGTACATCGTTTCATAGACTCCTTATAGCATTATTACCTCCGAAATGTCACCAGTCTTGCATCTTTGGATAATTTAAATCGCTGCCGCTTTCATTAGGAGGTATTCCAAAACTTTTATACTGGTAGATGTGGAAAACACTAGAAAGAGGAGCGTAATCAATGGGGGAGGAGGTGGCAAGGGACGCGTCTTCTCTGGAGGATGGAAAAAAGGGCAAAAGTAAAGGAGGAAAAGAGAGGAGAAAAAAACAAGGGAACGAAGAAGAAGCAAAAGATAAAAAATTACATCCCAATATTCGGTTTTCGCCTCATTCGAAGCAAAAGAATTAAATCCGTTTTTGGGCCAAGTTCCCCTTCGCGCCCCTCCCTCCTCTAAAAAATTCTGACCAAGCCCCTCTCTGAGTATATTCGCATTTGATTCGTCATCAACAAATGATTGAATGAACAGATGAATGAATCTGATTTTGTAGAAATAAAATTCAGATTGCAAAAAAGCAGTATGACGAAAAGCTGCCAGAGTCGATATTCGATTTGTTGACACCAAAACCAACCACAACAACACCGAAACCAATAATCGAACGATTATTTGAACCATTTCTCAATCCTATCAAAAATGAATTAAATAAATTCAAAGAGGTTATTTTCAATGTCTTGCTCCATCACTTCATATTGTATTTCTTCAGCGACTAATATCACATTCTCTGAATGTGCTGAATTTCGATACGGATCAAGAGAATAAAAACAAAAGCGTACAATCATTTGATGAGTTTTTTGTTCATTCTTTGCAAGAAATGTTTTCATTTTTAGGCAACAGAAATGACCAAACGTAATCACCAACGCATCTCAGAGCATGGTAGATTGCCGATATCAAACGACAATGAGATCGTATCTCCGAACGTAATGACGAACAGTGACTCAGCACGTCGTTCACCATCGAAATTTGTTGACGACAATAAAATCACTTCGCAATCATCATATGATGATCATGAGGTAATCCTAACAGAATATATTGACTATCGTTGACTTAACCATCTTTTCGAGAGTTTTTATTAGTATAGGCGTCTCAGTTCCTCTAATTATATTCTGTCGTCTCGATTCCATAATGTCAAGAAGACCGAACATTTGTCAGGTTGAATTCTATAGCTTGATCCATGTGCGAGTTTGTTTTCAGCACCGTTTCCAACCTTCATATCTTCTAATGAATAAATAATCCCTATGAAAAATAATAATGATAGTATGAAAAATAATCCATCTCTATTTATTGCAAGTTTGCATTAGAGAATTCAACAGAAGGGAAACAAATTGACAGTGTTACAATCAACTTTCATTACATAGGGACCACAAATCATGTCACTGCTTGAGTCGTTCGGTCAAAATGTGCATAAAGATGACGAAATGCACGTTGGTAGAGATAAGTCCGTCAATATACTCGGAATGCCAGTTGGGAGACGAGATGGATTAATCTTTAATCCTTTAAATGGAATCAGTTTGGGGAATCAGGATATGTACGGTCCTGTTGCAATCAACGATAAATACAATATCAACTGGGGATTTATCGATAAAATCGGTCGATTGATTGATTCTTTATCAGACAAGGTTATTCATTATGTTTTCTAAGCAATATAATCAAAAATTATTCGGCACTTTCTTATGCAATGATCATTTCATCATATGCCCATTAGTCACATATTTCTGAGAATCTTTGCTACCATTTTCCAGAAAGGAAGACTTATTTATCACAAATTCATCCGAAGGGATGCAAGAATTTGTTAAAATCAATCACTGAATTAACTGAAAAAAAAAACAATTACTTTAAAACAATCCGATTTCAGTTGATTTTAATGCAGTAACACTTACGACAGATATCTTATGATTACCTAACTACAAGTTGAACTCGTTTCATTTCAGGTGTAATTAAACTAACACCTGTGTAATTTAACATAAGGTGCACGATATACTGACATACATTGTCATGTGGTCACATCATGTTAATTATCAAGATCATTATCTATACTCAGTTTCCGAATATTTCGTTGATATCAACTTCAAATACCTCGTTATTCCGTTGCTATCCATTATTGTGCGTTTATGGAGGAATGTGTGGGAAGAAGATTGCGATCTCACAATCTCTTGTTGCGATCTCTTGTCAGATAGAAACATTCATTATCGATCAATAATTTGTTTATGCCTGTCTTGTAAACGATATTATTTTTGTGAATGCAACATTGATTGTATGGAAATATTCTGAAATCATTTCTTGTATAAAACAAACTCGTACACTGTCACACACTAATGATTATTTCATATCCTAATACCTTATCTAAATTTCGAATGCAAAATTCAGTTTTCATTTTGCTCAGTGGACGAATCACGTATGCCTTTGATATAATAATAACTGATTATGGAAGGAGAAACCAAATCCCCAAAAGAGACTGCAGATAATCTGAGCAGATGAATTAATGGAAAAATAACTGGAAAATATACGAGTTTCTATTGGATCTATTTCGAGCAATAAATCTATCCATAAAACGGCGGTTAAGAATTGCCATTACGACAGAAGTGGTATCCATTCAATTGGTTAATCACCTTAAGTCTTTCGTGACTTCTTTTTCGATTATTAATCCTATTGACTAATTGAGTTTATTAGGAATGTGAGTGTTTCCGAGTGCGATTGAAATAAGTAATTCGTTTCGATTCAGTGAGCGTAAACAAAACGGATCAAAACCCTTGAACAAATAAGTGACATTGTTATGTGCTCAACAAAGGTGCAACTGAAAAGAACTTTCGATATAGTCATACTTCAGAGTGACTCTTACTGTACGTCTTAACACTCAATTATTAACAAACAGAATTTCGTATTTGGATTTCATCGAGGTCAATAAGCAATTCAACATTCGACATTACTTGGGCCTGCATAATTTCATACACGAAATACGAATGCACTTGAACTGCGACACCTTCTGTGCCGTTACCATCGTCACACTGTAAACCAAAAAATGCCATTCGTTCAGCGTGCGAACATGAAAGATGCACACCGTGATCCGTTGAAATGAAAAAGAGTAATTTCGTAACATTTTATTAATATCAGGTGATGTAAGACCTTATCAGTCACTTTAGTTTTTATCTGATAAAAACTGATAATTTTTTCCTGAAAAGATGTGACATTTTGATATTGGCACGGTAGATCTTATGAACTTAAGAAGTATCACCCTTGCCCACATACGATCTCTGCCCACTTACTTTGTGCGCTTCATGATTTGTTATTGCGTGACATCTACCGACTAAGGTGCACAAGTGTTGTGGATGTGACACGATCATATGGGTCAAGATCGTGAGACATCTAACCGATCTTAACAGATTCACGTAAACGACTTGCTCGTTTGTCATTATGTTGCAGAATACTTCGAGTGCAATGAATTAATTCGAATAATGAAATAAATGCAATGAATCAGTAATGTTGTTTCAATCGAGGCAATTAATAGAACTGAATCAAAAATTGTTTATTCACATGAATGTTTATTGAGTGCATAAATCGAAAGTGTTCAACGATTCCATGAATGGAACAAAGATGTGCGATAAAATAGGACGGACACATATCTCATAAATGAACGAGTGACCATTTTGATTCACCGCACCAAATGAATAGGCTGCCAGCCGTCTTCCCACTTCTCCATGTTCTGTCATAACGATAACTGACAATTGTACAAGTGAACAAACGCCATGATGCATCGTTGTGCATCGTTCGTTTTGTTGTTTATTTATATTTGTTTTGTTGACTTCAACTATTCGGCTAAACCGACTTTTGCTGAGACGGTATTCGATCTAAGTCCCGATCTTCCGGATGAATCGATTTCAGAAAGCGAAGATGGGCAATATTCCACTGAAACCGCTCAAATATTAGCAATAACAACAACAAAAACACCTCCTGTGTCAAATGAAACGCCACCGCCGCCACCGTTGTTAAACTATCAGCCAAATCAAAATGGTATATTCCCATCGCTGAAACCTTTGGGTATATCACCGGATTTAGTCCCTACAATCCCCGCTAACAATCAGCAACCATTCTTGCCACCTATTCAAGTCAGCCCATCCGTCTTCGCCCCACCTCATCCACAAAACTTTGAATCGATAAATCAACTTCAGCCCAATGCACGTGTAATTGTTCAACCTCATATTCAAACACAAACTCCGATTCCGCTCCAGTCGACCAGGGTCGTGAATGTTTCTCACCCGCAGTTCCCAACGCAGTCCGCACTTCATAATTCTCAGCATTCAGAAGCAACCCCTCCACGAGGTCTTCTCCATAGAAGTGAGTCTATCGTCCACACTCCCGTGAATCTCCCTACTCAAAGGCATCCGCGCGAACCAATGTCCGTGTTCTGGTTCAAAGAACGTTACGACGTATCGAGTAAGTTACCTTTGACTTCGTTCTGTTCTGTTATCACCTTTAATATCAACGTTATTCGTTATTATTACCATTATAGTTACTGTTGTTGTTGTCATTATAATTACTGCTATCAACAGTATTATTATTATGATCACTACTATTGTTGTCCTCTTCATAAATCACCCGTGCTGAGATTGAATCGCCGAATTAAAGAAAACATCGTTGATCGCTCTCATATGAATAAGATTAGATTGTATCGTGACGGATTCTAAAATGAAAAATTCCGCAGTCAGTGGGAGTGTTTGTAATCGTTTTGATCAAAAACCGGACCTTGGGAGAACCCCGATTGTGTGGCCGAAATTGAGAGCCGATACCATCTCTAATTAATCTTCTTGAACAAGCTACTATAGTAAACTTTGAACGCTTGAAATAAATGTCTTAAAATTGATCGTTGACCAAATCTCAAACATTAAGTAACGTTGATTTTACTTCAGGTAACATTGATTAAGCATTTTGGGAGGGGTTTGTTAAGATTGAATCTTTTCGTGAGTTGAATATTTTGTTGGAATGGGCTGATTGAACAGCAGTTATCTGAAACATCGATTGAATGAAATAAAGAAGATTCTATCAGCGTGAAATTTGTGGTTTTTGGTTGGTTTGTGGATGTTCTTTGGAATTATTCAATGACTGAAAACAAAACACATTTATTTATTCCAGTTGCTCGAGTCGAAATGTTTATTAAAATTTATAAGTGCTAATGAATATTTGTTCTTAACTGATTTCATTTATCCAAAACAAACGCAATCGTCATCAGAAATGTTCATAATCTACCGTTCAAATACTGAATGATGGTCATAAATTCTTCAAACTTTCGCAATTGTCATACCGATGTGTGTACCGTTCGGATGATATGTCTATCATTCAATCATTCGTAATGCGTAATCACTGATGCAAACACGTTTTTTTTGGGCACAATGTTCAAATTAACACGATCTATTTCCTGTTTGAGAATGTTTTGAATGATCTCATTGGTTCATAGTTAATTAGGTTTTAATATGAGATGCTGTGTACATTCGTCATGGTTTATTTCATTGATACTCCTCTGATCTGATAATCACCGAATGGTTAAGCATATCTGCAGGTGAATCGATGAAGTGTTCAGCAAGTTAGATTAATATTTACGCTATATATTCTTCTAAAATCGAAAAAGCGTCTGGTCAAATTAATTAATGCATTTTGAAGTCAGACAGGACAATGAATAGACTGATGAATTATTAATTAATTGGGAGACTATAAGGGATCATTACTACCATACAATCACTTAGAGCTCTAGCTGCTGAAAAATAACATGAAAAACGAAAGAGCATGGACAAAAATATCCGCATGTCCTCAAATGTTAGTGAATAAATTCCACGGAAAACAGAAGAATCAGTGGTTCTTGGAAGGTCATCAGCCGATGGAATGTTTCTGCCGCGTTAAAGCGGTTGATAAAACATCTCAAATTTATTATTAATTTCGACGAAAGTTGCAACCGCTGTGCCACTGTACTAATACAATAATGTACTAGTATAACGAAAGTACTAATATTGTACTGATGTAAACACTGCTATGGTACAAATATAATAGTGCTCGTCATGACCACTGTAAAACTATTGACGTAATTAGCACTATTTGAATGCATTTCCTTTCAACCGTATCTTAACCACATTTATGTCAGTATTGTCTCATATTAATTCAAATAAACAATACAAGTTGCAGCATGTTCAAAAGATTTCCGAAAAGTGGCAGCAGAATTTCAACGCAAATTACCACGGAACATAATTCGAAATAGTAAAGATACTAAAATTATTGCAATGGTTGAACGGATATTAACGGACTGCCATAGAAAGTCAGCCACGAATCACTGGAATCGAATATCCGATCTCCTTCCAAAAGTTGCTCTCTCATTGAGGTTATTTTTCATTTCCCTTACTTGTCTTAAATTCACTCCAATTTCATTCACTACTACAATATTACACATCACTTTAAAATTTTATCATTCGTCAATCAGGAAATTGAAGTGATTTGATCGGAGTGAGTGACGTGTCGGTATATATTAAATTGCTTGGAAGTTCGATGATGGTGTTAACAGAAGCAGGTTTTAAACATTGCCACAAAAATGAAATTATAATACATTAAAACTATAATACTGGCGCGTTATTGTAATTAGTGTTCGTCGGGGAACGGAATCCCTGTCGGGGACCTCGACGGGGAACGCGGATAGCGCTCCCCCCGCGCAATTTGCTCCTCGACTTTTCTGCGGGCACCCCCCCCCGTCCAGTTTTCTCCCCACGGGGACCCCCTCGTCCACTTCCGCTCCCGACTGGGAGGACGAGCTCCCCGTCCTCCCCGTCGGGAAACACGGGGAACGGTCATTCCCCGACGGGGTCCCCCCGCGCAATTTGCTCCCCGATTTTTTTGCGGGTAAGCCACCCCGTCCAGTTTTCTCCCCACGGGTACATTCATCTCCTGGATGGTCGATACGACAGGGTTGAATCGAGTACGAAATCCGACTCGAGGCCCCAAAATCGAGTTTCGAGGGGCCTCGACCAATTTTCATGATGTTATCCTTTCAAAATTAGTCACTTTTCACCGCGAAACATGCCCAAGGGAAACATTTAATGAATAAATATCACTAAAAGAAGAACTTATTCTCATCGGGTGGATTTCACCACTATATTTATGAAAACAATAACAAGTAGATAATTTTGCCGATAGGCGGATAATTCTGTCGTATATCCATTCAGATGTGCAACATATGAAACTCCTGGTGAGTACATTTCTCATCACTGTGCGCTCTAATAAGAAAGAGAGGCGTATGCCACTGGAATATATTCGTTGGAGTGCAAAACTTTGTAATGAAATATTGCAGAGAACAAATGGAATGCTACGATGGTCTAGTGGAAGAACAATTGGCGTGTATGAATTTGTCATCATTCATATGCCAATTCATACATAAAAGATTTCAATTTCGATTGATACCAACAAGAATCATTATTAAAGAAATGTTCGTTGCTGAGGAAGGAGCTGAAAAGTGTCGTAAAATTATCAAAGATATCCAAAGAAGAAAAAAGTCTCGATTGAATGTGTAAAGCTTCCATTTGTATATACAAGATTTTATGTAATATCACATAAATTTGTCTTTTCTTGCGTTATTTGCTACATTTCGTTCCCTATTAATACAAACCACCACTTTGTTAATGAATTGCTACAATCTATTATTCAGTTAAACTGACTAACTCTGAATTAGGATGTTGCTCCATTACGCATCTCGGATGATGCAATACCTGCATATTTCGGGAGCGGCTAGACAACCATTTGCACGCTTCAGCAGTCTTCCGAAAATCCAGATGTATGCTGGTCTCATTTACTTGCGACAAACTCAGGCCTTGGTTTAGAACTGTTGTTGAAGTTACGGTGAGGCTTACGTAACTTTAAGTACGGCCCTTGGATCTAAGCTCGCGCTTAGGCTGAGAACAGGCTAAATTGACACAGTTGATTTTTAAATTTTGCTGTCATTGCCTGGCTGAAAATTATGTTCTGAAAAGCTTATTGGAACATTTGGCAGAAAGTGATACTGCTTAACTATATTGCGTAGAATAGATTGGTAAATCATCACGTTCATTGATGTACGAACGAATTCACTTTCTCGTTTATTTTCACTGAAAAAGATGAGATAAAATCGTTCCAAATAAATGTACAACTGTTCGAATGAGAAATTAGTTAAATCACCGAAATTGACATTGTGGGCAAGTCGTAGATAATTTATCAACAAACCATGTCTTTAAACGTGATCATCAGCTAGCAATAAGCAACTGGGCAAAAACAAAACAGGAACTTTAATGTCGGCAACAACGTTTCCGAGGAAACTATCACTGTTTTCAAGGTATGTAAATAAGTTCGTCTTGCGAAGCAACTGAATCGGAGGCAGAATAAATTCTTAAGTTCACATTTATCGAAAATCGATGTTATTGAATGGATTTCTCAAATGAATGGCGTTATTTGAGATCCACATTTTTTCGGATGCAAATATCATGATAAAGACTAACAAATAGACACAATGTTGCACAAATCAGAGACAAAGATAAAGTGAATTACATATGCACAATCATATTATTTTCCATCATTCAAAAACAATGTATGATTATCCATCTTTGATGAGGCCAGGTAAGACTGACATCAGGTACAAATGTCACTGTTACCAGCCGCCATAGCTCAGTCGGTTAGAGCGTGGGTCTAATAAGCCCAAGGTCGCAGGTTCGACCCCTGCTGGCGGCAAATATTTTATGCTTTGGAAATTACTTATTGTTATTTCGCAATTGTGTTGTGTAGCTTGGTTGTAAGCTTGGAAATAAAATAAATTCACATCATGGACATTTTCTGAAGTGGAATATGAGCAATGCGACTAAAAAAATTAGGAAGTAAATCTGTTTCAAAATCATTTTCTTGCAGAACAAATGTTTATCACCAACGACGAAGACATCGTTTTCCTGAAGCACAGAACACATCAACACACCAAAACACGAAGCTGGATAGTGTTATCGTTTTATCGAACATTATTTCACTTCTTTCATACTCTACCTACAGTGACACGTAAAGACATAGGATACAAATATGGAAATAAACGCACACTGTACGCAGAGCAGTATGTCGAAAATTTTAGAACAACGACATCAACGATTCATACATTGTAATTTATCATACCCTCCAAACTTCGCATAATCAACCAGGTCAAACATCCGAAACAACTGTGATGAGTAAAATGCAAAAGAATTTAATCACAAATCATTCAAACCCTCAGTTAATCAACCCAACTTTCTACTAAAATGATCGAATGAGCAGTCGAAAAACATTATTATAAGTACCATCCAATTTTCTTTGATTCATTCATGAATCAGCGAATCAGTGAATAATTAAATGTATTCACATGTGCAAGATACTTCAGATAAATCAAGTCAATCCTTATATATTCATGCATTTCTTGCCATTCATTTTCAGTGTTAAACGTTCATTCTTCCATGACTTCCAATGTTCAGGCTATTTGAAAGGCAAAATTCATGCGAATTATCAACTGAATAGTTTAGTTACGAAACGAATAACAGTGATAAATTAATTCATACCGTTGTATCAATTGTGAGTCAATTTTATTAAAACTTCATCAGTCTATCATTATGAATGGTTTGCTTGATCGCTCGATCAATCGTCCACGAATATGTATTCATACCTCTCAAAAATTGGTTATTCTTGGTTAATCTCACGCCAGTCGCTTTAGTTAAAATTTCTTTGTTCCTAACTGTCGCTAAAGGATGTTTTTTTCTCATTTTCAATATTTCACCAGTCGTTTCATAACATTTATAAGTATCGTGTATTGTACTGCGTAGTTAAGTTTTTTGTGCTCATCTCTCCTTCAATCCCTCGAGATTGATTCGATCGTGATACTCGCGGGTATTAAGAAGATGAGCCTCTACTTGTTATTCACGGTTCATAGCATCAAATGATTTGTCATCTTCGCTCAACTTGCGAACATTCATATTTGGTATGGTGAATTTTATTTTTTTTCTCAAGTTCACATCTCCCACTTCAATGATCAGGTATTCGGGCATATTATTTCAAACATATCGATCGTAGTTGTTATTGTTCGTAGTCAGAAAATTGTAAGGAATGGTATCATCAGCATGTGGATTCGTTGATATCCGCTCAATCTCTCACAAACAAGGTGCACGTAATGCATTTTGGTGATATTATGTACATACTCCAACTTTCACCGTAATTTCAGCCTTTTTGATGTGTTTACTTTGATTTGTTCAGCTTGCTCATTTACTTGAAGCGATTTCATTTGACGTGTCGTGTTCAAATGAAAGCGACAATAAATTTGTTGAAATATCGATAAATGAATAAAATTGTCAGTTTTCCTCCTTGTTCAGTTTTATGTTCGAATCAGTATGACAACACTTTATAAGATGAACATCATGTAACGATATTCTGCCGAAGAAATTTACAGCCAATGGATGACTTCCGTACTCAAAGACGGCTTGTTACAATAATAAAG